AGTTTACATTTGCATTGCGGATTGCTGTTATCAAGGTGTAAATTCATTCCATTGCCACACTCGACACAGGTACGCCCCCAAGCACCATCGATTAGCGGACTCAAACCTGTTAAAATATTAGAACACACCAAAGTCAAAAATGGTTAGTGAAACAGTAAAACACGACATTTTTATGCTTATGTTTCTGTCAATAATTCAACTTTTGCATGAAACAGGAATATCTCTGTCGACCTTATATATCTATGAAAGTTGTAATCAATAATTTAAAAAAAAACATTTGAGTTGCGTCAAGCGAAAAGGGACCTTCGTGATCAAATTTTCGAAAATCGGTTTTTCGCCGTTTCTGAAAGAGCTAGTTTTTATGAACAATTTGATACCAAACATTTTATTATATACCTTCTAAATTCTTATTAAAACTCCAAATGAAAACAATGCAATGCTAACAGGATAACGCTGTAAAACGTTGAATAACGTCAAATAACGTCATTGATAATTGGAACGTGCAACGTGATAACTAAATCCCCCTTTTGTATTAGTTAGAATTTTTTTCTATACACGTATTTTAAAGTTTTTTTAAAAATATATATTTCTACAAATTTTAGTATTTTTATGATCGTATACATTGCAAACTTAATAACTTAACTTAAAATAACATTGATAACTTAAAGGTTGTTAAAAAAATTATCATCTAAATGTACATTTATATTGAAATAATAAAATAAGCACTAAACTTTCAAGGAGTATATTCAACGACATCATCTCACCCTTTTTTAATCTACATCATCAACATTACCATGCTTTAATCACTGGAAATTTGTATTTGAATGGATCCTTGACCAGGGATAGACCGCTGACCATAAAAATCCCCCAAAAAGCTTCTACTCTGAAATCACCTTGCAAGGCATTCGTAACAACACGTCCATTTTCCAAGAGAAATTATTTATAGTTCACGGAATTAATCTGAATTAATCGAGTATATATTTACAATTGCTCGAAAGGGGGTAAAAAAGAATATCCGACATCACTGTTCATGTAGTAAGGTTTTAATGGTCAAAGGATTGTAATTAATTTTTTTTTCGGTATTATCAGCAAACCTACCTCCACAAAAACAAACACTTAGGCAGTTCCTACATATATTTTTAGGGTACTTCCCTGATCTAAATTTAGGAGGTGGTTGAGGTGCAACTTTCAGGCATTGTAATTATTTGCCTTTCAGCTATTTCACAATTCTTTCAAAAACAATTTCTCGTTATTTTATTTCAATTGAAAATATAACTGAAATGTGGAAAATCTCCAAATTCAAAATAGAATAAACGTTTTTTACCCCCCCCCCTTTTCCCAACGATGCTACTTGCCTGTATGAAAATGATTTAACAATGCTAAAATGAAATTAAGTATACCGATTCACACATTATATCAATAATTGTATTTATACTATTAACAATGAAAGAGATTAAATTTTTGTACATTGGGGAAACGGGGGAAGGGGGGGGGGGGTCTTCTTCGAAAGGGAGCCCGGCACATTGGGCTTGGAACAAAGGCACGTTACTTTGCTGCTTGCAGTTGAACAATTTGATAAAGGTATATATTGTGTAGTAAAATGTAAAAAGAAAAACATGTTTTTTTAACCTCATATTAAAAAAAAAATCAAGGTATGTAATTTGTTCTGCACTAAAATTTAAAAATACCGATAAAATGCCTAGGTTACATATAAATCTAGGCTTGATGCAACACAATCAATTCAGACGTTAAATTCAACTTTAAGAGCATACTAAAATAGATAACATACGTATAATTTCTTATGTGCCACCTATTCACTAGTTGGTACGTTGTTTCATGTAATATTTTATTGACCAAGTTAAGGGTCCCGGATGACATTCTAAATTACAGATGTACAATTTAAACATTATTTGAATATTGAAGTTCATGCAAAGTTCAATTATGTAAATTAGATAATCAGTTAAATTCATATTCAGTGTCTATGGGAACAATTAAGACAATGCGTTTTACATGTAGATGGTGTGAAATGGGCCTCAAGCCCTGAAAATCCATACATTATACACGCTGTCATCGGTACATGTAGAAATTTTCTTAAATAATTTTGCTCAACATGTTTTTGCAAGTAAAAGTTTCAATTATTTGCTTTTTGTTTTTTACATAGATAGATTTGATTATGCATATATTGCACAGTCGGTAATCCTCGGCTTTCTCCGCTATACTCCATTCAAACAGGTATACATCCGAGGAGCTCCGAGTAATATGTGTACGCCATACCCCCCCCCCCCCCCACCAAAAAAAAATAAATAAATAAAAAGTCACAAATTAATGATGATTATAGGATATTATTCACAAAACATAGTTAAAATTGAAATAAATCCTAACTTTTCTTTTTTTATAGTCAGGATTCAATAGGGTGGGTAATTCTTAAAAGAAAAAAATGTTGAAATTTCTTTTATTCCTGATTTTAAAAAAAATCGTACGCAATAAACAGACAGGTATTGAAAGCAACTTCAATTGTGGGAAAGGGCTCTAAAAGAGAGTATTTTACAAAGATAAAAAAAGAGTCTTCAGACAAAATTATTAAGAGTTCACAAAAATAAGAATTCGTAAAAGTAAGAATTGATTTTACAGTCGCGGTGTAAATTGAGATAGCTCTTCGGCATTACTAACGAAGGGGGCGCACAGCCCCCCCCCCCCCAAAAAAAAGAAAGAAAGAAAGAAAGAAAGAAAAATATCGTGATACATTATCTATAATTGAGAAACAATACGGAACTATCGAGGTTTGAAAAAAAATCTTCAAAACTTTACGGATGATGTGAATTTCCAGACAATGATCCGGTACTTCATTCATTGATCAAATATATGAGCGATGATTTTATTTTTAGAAGGAGGTGTGGGTGGGGATATGGTTTATGTACCAGTGTTTTCAATGTGGTTATGGACGAACTAAAAAAGAAATTAATGGTAAATTAAATACGTAAAAACGAAAATGAACAAGCAGAATCGAAACGAAAAAAAAATTAAGAGAGAATAAAGAAATAAAAAATCGGAATTTATCCTTAAAAGGCTTTCCTTTCCGTAGTAATAAAAACGGAGCACATAAAAAAAAAGGGGGGGGGGGGGGTAATCAAACAATTTAATTATAATATTACATACGTATGTAAGATTATCTATTCGATATGTACTTATATTTATAGCCCGGAAATACTTTTTTTTGCCTTAAATAAGATTAGTAATCGGAAAATAAAGCTAATGACCTATTACCTACATACGTCTGATTCAATAATGACCTATTTCGCTTTTAATTTTCGACTTTAACAACATCAGGTTACCGTGTTTAGATTTAATTTATTGCATTTAATTCAGACAATGAAAAGAAGACCACAAATTAGTTTTGAAAATGACCAATGTTTATTATCTTTTCATTTTATTGCGTCATGCAGTTAAATTTTCAATCCTCATGCTGCGACAAAGTGACGTGTTAATGAGTTAATACGGAAGTCTGTATGGCTTTCGCCGCTTCATTCTTTATAACACAGTTACAGAGAAAGCTTCTTATCCGCTGCATTCATATTTTTTTCCTAACATGAATTGACAAAGTGCTATTCAACTATGCTAGAATCAGTGAACTGGTTCGAACATATTATCTCTGATGGCAAACTTTGGGCACAAAGTCGCCAAATCTCGGGTCTTTCTGTCTAATGGAAAAACAATCTGGAATGTGTTAAATTTAACCCCCCCCCCCCCCCGGAGAAAAAAAAACAAATAAAAAACCCTAGAATAAATGCTGCATGGGGACCACTTGCTTATCTGTAAAGACAGTAGGTCAGCCCCAAAGAAACGATTGTTTTTAGAGCTTAATGAGGTAGACACATACATTGATTTGTTGATGAACATTTTTGACAACTCACGAATAAAACCATTCATAAACAATCAAAAATTTATTTAGTTTTATATTGTTTTGAAAAAAAAATTTACATGTAAACCTATAAATTGAAGACATTGAACTTTTTTTTTCAAGACATTTTCAGGCGTGTCTTTTTTTTTTTTTGTAAATATGAATTACGCAAACATATTTTTGTTTTTCTTAATCGTATAATTTTTTTCATTGGCAAAAGCACAGACGAGACGCCACGTCTTTGAAGCGCTATTGTAACGTAATTACGTTTATGTCACGAAGGTCCCTTTTCGCTTGACGCGACTCATTTTATATTTAATTAAATCTCATAATTAATAATGTTAAAGAGCAAAGTGATTTAATTATTTTTTTTAATCTTTGTAATGATGAAAGGCATTGTCAACATAAGCATCGTATAATATCGTATTAAAATCATGTTTTTTCTCAGTTAGTTATATAAGTGATTTTCGGTATTCAATTAGAACATATTAATCAAGACAATCAAAATAAACCGTTAATCAAGTTATTGCATCTTCATAAATAAAGATATCAGATAGTAAGATGAGAATAATATTACTTTAGGGAAACAGTAAAACGAAAATCCTCCAACAGTGTTAAAATTGGACAAGCCTCTGTCCTTTTTAGCATTAAATAATATACATTTCACGGAAATGATTATATTAAAGCATAAAATTACTCTTGCATAACTTATTTTGCATTAAAGAAAATACTGAATAATAGGGACATGTATGCGTCCCTGGAACATCAAATAAAATAACAAAAGTAGAAAACAAGCTAGTACTTATTGAAGCTGATTAATGTGGCAAAGACACAAAATTTTACATGTTTGTAAACATATGCAACAGAAGTCAAACCCAAGCAGCGTTTAATTTTCTTTCAACTGTTTATATGTAGAGAGATTATTACCAAAATAAGGAAGAGGATTTTAAGAAGAGCAAGAGATGCATGCATGCACAGGAAGAGGATGTAGAGGGCGCTCCAAATACATAGAGGGCGCTCCTCTTCTGCTTAGAGCATCCCAAATACATTTTTGGTGATTTAATTTAAACGGTTTTATCAAAGAATATTTAAGCTATACCATTCAAATATCAGTTTTAAGACAGTCTTTTTACACTAAACTTATTAATCCATGTCTAAATTGACAGCTGAAATTTGTCTTCAATATAAAATGTCATTAAAGACATATATGTATTTTCTTGAATCAATATTTGTAACCAGATTACTGAAATACTCTTCCATTTGTAATAATAACTTTAAAGACTTATTCTTTGCAATTTCACCTTCATTAAAGGTCACAGTAACCTTTATTACAGAGTGTAACACAACCTCATCTGAGATGCATTATCTGACAAAGTTTAGTGATTCTTAAAGTAACAGATTTTTAAGAAATGAACGAGATAAGATTTTGTCATGTATAACAATTACCATGCATAATAACCATCGATCAATAATAAGTTAGTTGAAAATAACAAAAAATCTGAAGAAAGTTTTATGAGCGAATCATTAAAACACTGATGTCTTTATTATTTTCAAAAAGAACAAGAGAGGAACTGCCCTTTCTTCAAACCGAAAGTAGAATCCTTGGTTTTCCAGTTTACATTCAATTTGATATCTTCTATTAACTATGAGCAATAGGGAAAATAAATTCATACCTTGAGAGAAGTATGTACGAAAAAGCTGATATATTTTTCATTATTTAAAGTGTATGATTCCATGTTTTTAAATATTATATCAAAATGTTCTTTTATATTACAGTATGAATGATTTACAGCGTATTTCCGAATCCGTTTGCATGGGATTTTGTCGCATAGTTGGAACTTCACAACAGGTGGCCATGAGAAGGGACGTTACTGACATCAGTGATACAATAGAAATACAGAAAGGAGGGACAATCGTTGGCTGTAAGATGAAAAATGGAAGTTATAAAGAAGGATTCAGACTCCAAGGATCCGACATTGACACCATGTTCTGGTTACCTGAGAACCGAGTGATCTGGAACATATCTCAGATACGGTTTTACAATCCAAACAGACACACAATGATTCTATGTGACAATTCTGAAAGTCCGCCAGGATACACTTTACTTTGGTTACCAATGGAAAGAGCCCGTGATAAAGTTATGGCAGCTACTCTGAGAGAAAATAGCAGATTAATTGTATCTAGTTCTAAATATAGAGAAATCATGTGTCCATCAGTATATCCCGATTCTAAACCGCATGGACCATGTGCTAGTGGTATGTTGAGTGATATTATGGAATATGACCATGCCCACTGCTTTGTCAGTGACTTTTGGCCTCCATGTGCCTCATCGTGGATTAACAGGTGTCGCGTATGGCCTCAGCCTCATGTTGCTAAAAATATTATAAGAAAGGGAAGTCACGTTGTAGCAATAGGGCCCAGACTAGAAAATTATAAAGACATTGAATGGAGAATATCCTTTTCTCAGGCAGAACAAATTCTTGTGCGCTCAATGAATCACTACCAATTCTTACTGTATGGTCTTCTTAAATTATTCTTAAAGGAAGTACTAAACAATGGGATAAGAGAAGATGATAAATTACTGTGTTCCTATCACATGAAGACAGCAGTTTTCTGGGTAGTTCAGCAAAACACAATACTTGACTGGGGTCCACAAAATTTCCTGCAGTGCTTCTGGATTAGTTTTAAACTCACCCTTAAATGGGTGTATGAAGGGGTCTGTCCTAACTTTTTCATTCCAGAAGACAATATATTTCTTTCTAAAATCTATGGAGAGACACAACACAATCTATTCATTCGACTGTATGGATTGTATGAGAGGGGATTGGTAGAATGTTTGCTACAAAGCTCCTCCGTCAGCCCCCATGTTAGAAATGTTCAGTATAATCCCAGACTCGCCATCTGTACAGATGAACGCAATGTAATCTCGGAGGCTGAGTTTGATTTAGAGCTGTTTCGTGAGATAATTCGTGATAATTATGCACAATCCACATCTGATCTCCGTCTCTGTGTGAAGGACTTACGTATAGTAGAACAGCTAATAGGTTCATGTCTGACCAAGTATCAAGTTGTCATGTTGCAAAAAATTACGGTCACAATTCTTCAGAGCACGGTTTTTATACTACACAATCTACAAACTAACATACATGCAAACAAACAGATGTATGATGCTGACAGAAAATTTTGTCACATGCTAAAATTAGCAGCCAAGTTTGGGTTTGTGTCCGACATGTTGCAGCTTGTCATGTATTATTACAAGACCTTTAGATACAAGAAAGCTAAACTTGCGATAGAGATGACAAATTCTAGAAAATATCCAGAGAGAAATAGAAATGCTGAGGCGGTAGGGGAAAAGTCGTATTCTATGAAGATGAGACAGACAGTAGCTGGAATAATCGCAATTGAAAATGAAATTTGTTACATCAAAGAGTTAACACCAGAACAACAGTCTAGTTCACGGAATAGAAAGTTTTTATTGCATATTCCACCGTATGTTCTGTTACACATGTTGGAAGTTTTGTGTTATATGCATGTGGAACCCACGAAAGCGAAAGCATCTCTCGAAAATCTACAGTTGCTGGTCCGGTGTGATAAAGGCGTGTTCGTTCCTAACCATGTCAGAGATATATCATGGGAGATTGTAGGGATCTGTCAACAGGTGACAGGGAACCTCCAGTCTGCTCTCTACTCGTACCAACAATCTCTCAGACAAAAACAATTCAATAAAATACAAACCGCTACAAAAGAAAGAATACATAATATCAAAAAATTATTATGATTGTCATTCTTTGTTATATATAGAAAACAACAATTTGTAAATATTAAAAGTCTATTTTAATATTTTCATTTTTGTGTATTATCAATTTGTCAGACAAGTTTTTCAATAATATATTTTTTCTAAGAATTTTCCATTAAACTAACCCTTACAAAAAGTTAACTGATATTCATTGAAATTTCTTTATTGTAGTTAAAACTATAAAAAGTTAATTTTGTCGGTGAGTTTAGTGAAAACTTTTTATTCACTAGAGTGATCACGATGCAAACTTTGATTTACAGTACTGTACATGCATATGGTGATATCTTTAAAACTTTGATTTATTTACTATATTGATAACTTTGACACTTTGATCAACTTTGGCGGTAACTTTGACACTCTAGTCAAAACTTTAAAAACTTTGATTAACTATAGTGATCACTTTGAAAATTTGACATTTAATTTACTATAGATAACTATAGTAAACTACATGTATAGTTAACTATAATTTTTTTTTGTTAGGGAATGGTACTTTTAAAATCAAAGACGAAAATAATTATGATTAAGCTGTCGTATGATATGAAGAAATATCAAAGCAGCTATTTAAAATGTGTAGTCCGAAAACATCAATACTTAAACGAATCTCGAGACATTTGAGACGTTTTCTTAAGGGGACCGACTCTAGTTTTCATTGCGCAGTATTTCGCGCAACATAGTAAAACGAAGCGTATTTACTGTTTTAAAGCAACTTTTTTCACTTGATTAATAAAATTAAACAAAAATAAGTAATTACAGGTTTAAAAATGAAATTACAATTTTATATAACTAAATCTTTAACCGATTTTGCAACTGATAGGTAGGTTGACTTCTTTATTGTGCGTTTTTGACGTTATGATAAACTGAAACTCTTAAAGAAAGGGGTAGTAAAAATGTTATTAAATAAAAAGTAATAAACATACGCTCTTGAAATTTACTATATAGGAATTTGATAATCTCTTCATCATATTTTATTTTTTGTATTAATCCTATGCATGCATCATATTTTGTAGCACTCTATAATAACAGGAAAATTCGTTAATTTTTGGCCTTTTGAGATACCCCCTCTGGTAACAAGAAGGTAGAATTTTGTGTTTCTTACATATAGTGTACAGAATAGTTTTACTCATCACATATTATAGTTTGAACAAAAACGCTATTGCAGTATTTGTATAATTTGCTTTAAAGTGCTAAAAATTGGCACTTTCCTATATATTCCTAAAGTAAATGTACCTGTACTTGAGATGGTCCCTTAGAAATACCTGGACGGTAGATTTCGCCCAAACTTTGCATGTACACTAAAGTTAATGTCAGTTATATATGGTATAAAACTGAAGGGTTCCGCTATTGTAGTTTTCACGCAATAAAGCCATAGTCCCCCCCCCCCCCCTTAAAAGTAAACTAGTGTGAATGTTTTAAAAAGTTTATTTTTAAACTTGTTTTAGATAGAATTCTTCCGTTGCTTTCGTACTTTTCCCAAGACAAAACTTGCTGATTTTTTTCTTCAAAATATTAATAATGCATATTTTTAAGACATTCATTTCTCCAAAGGGTCGATAATAAAGTAAGGTTGACTGGCCTAGTAAATAAGTCTATCAATAAAAGTCATATATATGTTTCATAAAGGATAATGGATACCCTTTTTAAAGGGTGAACTTATGTTTCTTTTGAAATATTTAACTATTTATAAAATTAAAGATTTGTGTTTTAGCCACTTTAGCTAAAGATATATGATTTTTACATAAATATTTGTAATCTAATAATTAACTAATATAAGATATCCTGAAAATTTAAAACATATCTTTTTATGGTATTCTCAATTCTAAATTATCGAACAAGTTTTCTTTATTATGTACAATGTAAATATTTACTTGAAGTATATGGAGATATCGAACAGTATTCAAGCTCAAAAGTCCATAAAAACAATATATTAAATGGGAGTAGAGCAAACACGATCTTCCAACACATCAGAGGTGGGAACAGTTGGCATGGTGGAGTGAGCATCCCCTGCTGACCGGTCCCAAGAAACCACAAAGATATTATCAATCAGAACCTCAACCATCTTTTTGATGTCAACATCAGATAACTTGTGTGTGTACAATCAGTATGGAATAACAAACTTTATCATGCACGGTGTGATACGGGTGACGTCACAATCCCCCATATCACGGACCGGTCCGAAAAGCCATATCACGTATCGGACCGGCGGACCGAAAATCCATATCAAACCGAAAGTAATGTTTGTATTAAGTTTAAAAGTTAATTTACCTGATTTTATTTAAATATTCATATAAAATAATTCTTTAATGACATTTGTGGTCTAAATTTTTTTCCAGTTACCTAAAATTGGCTCGATCTATTAAATTTTAAAGAAAAATGTCACTAACAAGCACAAACCATATGTGAACTCGCATATTAAGTACTCAGTATTTTAAATATATGACTACATACATAGGTGCTGATATGGGGCCACTCGGGCTGATATGACATATGATATGGATTTTAGTATGTAATATTCTCTATGCATTCAAGCCCAAAGTCCATTTCGATTATCCAGATCGGGAGCAGAGGAAATATGGACCATAAATATCATCGGAGGTGGGATCAGGTGTCATGTAGGAGTAAGTATTCCCTGCCGACCGGTCACACACGCCATGTGCTCCTTGCCATGATCGGTAAAATTAGTAAATAAATGAACATACTTTTCTATATTGAGACTGTTTATCATTATGTTGGACTTGTTCGAAAATTCGATTGATTGTATGTGGTTTTGCGTCTCCTTCGAGAATTCTTACTCATATGGAGACATCACCATATAGCAGTTGAGGGCTTCAAATCTGGCCCTTTACTCTGCACCCAGGGTCATTGAGCATGAATAGATCTTTATCATGATTTGCCTGCCATGACACAGGGACTCGACTTTTAGCTCTCATCAGAAGGACCAGCAATTTTCACTTCAAAGTACCGTGCGCTTGGCGAAGGAACAGTCGCTACTCAATTTTTTTTTTTATAAGCTAAGGTCAGTCGCGGTCGAGATTCGAACTCACGACCTCCTGATAACGGAGCGAGCAAAAAAAAATTTCAAAAAAAATCAAGAATAGATATATCAGCAATTTATTGAATAAAAAACAAAAGGACAAAATAGATACTTTTTTATGAAAATAGTTCATCTGATGAATTATCACAGCATTATATGAGCAAACATCATCAGAAAATTTTTTTTTTCAAAAACTTAAATTTCTTTTCCTTGAATTCAATAAATTCAAGTTGATCAAATACTGCTTCTCATACATTCTTAATCTTATATAAAATTCACCCTTTCACACATTATAGATTTCACAACAATTTCACACACTTTACCTACAAGTGGTGCAATACATAGAAGTAAATGCTTTTCACAGGTGTACAGCAAATAAATAAAACATCACTTGAAAAAGATAACAAATAAAGTCTATAACAAGCAACAATTCAATGAAAATATTTCTAAAATTTATTAAAAAATAATATAAAATGCAATATATAAAATTTAAGCATACAGCGTGGTTAAAAAATGTGTCATTATATCACAGCTTTTAATATTTAATAATTATAAACGGGACAGTTCTTTAAACGCAGCAGGGTTTGTACAAGTCTACTTATCTGCATCGGTCTAAAAATTTCCATCATTCGGTATTTCATTCATGAATCAAGCCTCAGTGTAAAGGATTTAACTAATATTTACCTTGATATTTTTATCAAACATTTCAAATATAATTTAAAATTGTTTAAAAAAAAAATTCCAACCTAGCTGCTTTAAAAAGGGCAACAAAAATATCCATGACAACAATAAAAGTTCCATTTTCTTCCTCCCCTACTGTATTAGTATTAAATAAAGTGAATTGTTATTGTAAAAATAATGTTAGACAAATTAATGCAGTGTTCTATTGAATAGAAGAATGTAATAAGCAGATCAAAGGAATAAAGTGTGATAAAAATCTGTGTGCAAGGTGTCGTACCGGCGACTTTTCCTGTTGTAATGGAAAATATTTCACTTTGTCATAAAATTATTTTCTAAAACCTTCCTAAAGACGGCAATGCATTATGTCAACAGTTTGTAATCCTTCATCTGTTTGTGACTCCGTGTGACGTAATAGACAGTGGATTGTGAACTTGTGACGTGTCAATAAACACAGCAGACGACGCGTTCACGAGCGGCAACTCGTGACACTGTATGGAGCGCCGCCCTATGTACCGCCGCACGAGCCTCGGCAGCGGATTAGAAGCAGACGACCTAACTGGCGTCACCGGCCGCTTTATCCCACCGTCCGTATAACGCAGGACCATCTTCTCAGCTCTAAGCGTGGTCTGCATGCCACTCAGATTGCTAGCAGAGTTCAGGCTTCCAGACGATTTAAGCGAGCAGGTGGAAGCGCTGGGAGGGCGGGGCGAGTAGCTGCTCTTTGGTCTGGTGGGGAAGCCCCGCGCCGCGCGGTAGGATTCGCTACTGGTATATCCTGGAGGAATAACAAGGCTATCAAGTTTACATTTGCATTGCGGATTGCTGTTATCAAGGTGTAAATTCATTCCATTGCCACACTCGACACAGGTACGCCCCCAAGCACCATCGATTAGCGGACTCAAACCTGTTAAAATATTAGAACACACCCAAGTCAAAAAAGGTTAGTGAAACAGTAAAACACGACATTGTTATGCTTATGTATCTGTCAATAATTCAACTTAAACATGAAACAGGAATATCTCTGTCGACCTTGTATCTATGAAAGTTGTAATCAATAATTTAAAAAACATTTTATATCAAATTAAATTTCATAATTAATAATATGTTAAAGAGCAAAGTGATTTTATTATTATTTTTTTAATCTTTGTAATGATGAAAGGCATTGTCAACATAAGCATCGTAATATCGTATTAAAATCATGTTTTTTTTTCTTATTAGTTACATAAGTGATTTTAGGTATTCAATTAAAACATATTAATTAAGACAATCAAAATAAATCGTTAATCAAGTTATTGCATTTTTTAAATTAGATATCAGATAATAAGATGAGAATAATATTACTTTATGAAAACAGTAGAACGAAGATCCTCCAACAGTGTTAAAATTGGACAGACCTCTGTCCTTTTTAGCATTAAATAATATACATTTCACGGAAATGATTATAGTAAAGCATAAAATTACTCTTGCATAACTTATTTTGCATTAAAGAAAATTATTGAATAATAGGGACATGTATGCGTCCCTGGAACATCAAATAAAATAACGAAAGTAGAAAACAAGCTAGTACGTATTGAAGCTGATTAATTTGGCAAAGACACAACATTTTACATGTTTGTAAACATATGCAACAGAAGTCAAACCCAAGCAGCATTTAATTCTCTTTCAATTGTTTATATGTAGAGAAATTATTACCAAATAAGGAAGAGGATTTAAAGAAGAGCAAGAGATGCATGCATGCACAGGAAGAGGAAGTTGACAACAAGCAGGTAGAGGGCGCTCCAAATACGTAAAGGGCGCTTCCGCTTAGAGCATCCCAAATACATGTTGGTGATTTAATTTAAACGGTTATATCAAAGAATATTTAAGGTATCTTCATTCAAATATTAATTTTAAAATGACCAAGTCCCTAGGTAAAGTATTCTTTTTTGTTTGTTTGTTAACATAGTTTTATAATCTAAATAAAAGATAGGAATGCCATTAGCGATATGGATGAACTATACAATGCAAAGATATAAATAGGAGTGAAAGCAAATGAAAAAAAGAACATATTAAAAAATTGTGTCTAATACATATATAAAGTATTTGAAACTTACAATCTTAACCAAAATAATTATGTTAAGAAACAGCCATGGCACATGATACACCCGTCAAACATTCGTCAAATGCCATGTGAAACAGATGGGAGCTGTATGTTTTGGGGTCTCAGAATTGCACATATATAACAAAGTTAATTTTGAAAATGAAGCCCAGCCAAAATTATTGACATTTGACAGCCGCTATCAATTTCAACCTATAGAGACCAGAATTCTGTACCCAATTTCTGAGAGGTTTACATGTGAATGTAACCTATGTCGTCATAATTGTTCTAACAGAGATGGGTAAGACAGTCCTTTTACACTAAACTCATGAATCCATCTCTAAATTGACAGATGCAATTTGTTTTCAATATACAATGTCATTACAGGCATATGTATTTTCTTGAATCAATATTCTTAACCAGGTTATTGCCATTTGGGGGGGGGGGGGCTTTTCCCCCCAACATTACCTTTACTATTGAAAATGTCCACTGAAAGGTCGGTTGGGCCCCCACTTCTTACCACAGTATAGTGATATGAAGGAAAATGTAGTATTGTACGCCAAAAAATTGGAAGTGAAGGAAGTTGGCCTTGGAAAAAGTTGGCATCATAATCTTGAGATATGAACTAGACATGTAAAAGGCTAACAGACAGACAGACATGAATGCCATACATAATATATCCTATCTTACAACAGACTTAAAAGATAAAAAAAAAATCTTAAGCAACAAATAAAAAAAACTTGCATTGTAACAGTTAACAAGAAATAAACAAATTGAAATGAATTGTCAATGAAGATGCCGATAACATTTGTTCCGTATGCTGAAAATAAACTTAACAGTGTTAGTAACTTAAAAGAAAGAGATGTGATACACAACAAATAAAGGTGAACATGGAAAATAAATATGACACCATCACCAAGTGAAACTAACAAGCAACAAAAAGGCGATAAAATACCGTGAACGGGTGAAAGGTATAAAATATATAGTCCCCTAGTCTAATCCCTGAATTTGGTTAATGACGTTAACCTTAATGACGGGAAGCTTCTGAATCATGACGTATGGCGAGGCTTTAGTCATGTTCAGTTTGACGGGCGTCCTGGCGTACTGAGGGAGGGAGAACAGACGCCGGCTTGTGATGGTCTGATGTGGCGGGCTCCCCAAACCGCTCATGGTCTTTCTACGTCTTCGTTTGCCTTCAAAAAGAGTCAGTGTTTATCATTATCAAATTGAACCTAGCTGTAATATTAGTGGTTTGTAATTTGACTTTGTTTTGTTAAAAATATGGAATGGTGTGTCTCAATAATTAGATTTAAAAAAAAGATTTTCTTGTAAACATATTTAATGTAAAGTCGTATGTATGTGTTTTATTACAATGGAAAGTCATCATAAGCCACGCTGTCATGGGGGTCAAGGTTCAGAGGTGAGAAGTGCATTAGTTCTGACAATGATCATGTACAACTGTAACGTCCCATGCAGCACGTTGTCTGTTGAGTATATGGCACAAGAAACTTTTACACAGATTTATCTCTATTTCTTTAACAAATTAAACAGGTTTTAGTTTTTTTAAAATTAAAAATCCATTTCAAATTATCTCAGTGACCATGTATCTCGTGCCAAATGAAAAAAAAATCTAAATATTAAGTTATAAGTCAGTAAATGCAAAAATAAATGTCTTCTATCAATGAAAGAATTTGTTAGTACTAAATTAAGATTAAACAAATTTCTTAATTATTGTTAATCTTTTGCATTCTATTTAATTAGCGTCTACTTGCAACATAATTCATACTGCATGGGACACGATGATGTGATGCATATTAATGAGAGGAAAGTTGATGAATATTAATGACAATCTAGCACACTTGAAAAACAAGACAGCATCACGTGACTTTTTTCCTGCGGGTCGACCAATCGCCGTGTGTAACGCCGTGAAGTAAAAACACCCAACAGACCTGGAACTTCCAATCAGTGCATGCATGCAAAACTTGTACTCCTTCCTTAAAACTTAACTCGAGAGAAAGACATACCATCGTAAATAAAAGTCCAAAATGTTAGAGCAATAACTTTAAATTTAAGAATAGTTTTTAGTGATATTAGTTTACGTTTTAGGGGAATTTTAAGCATTAATTTTATATACTTTTTTCCTGTTATTTTCCTACATATATTTTCTTCTAGCTTAATCCTAGCCTATTACACCCGCCCTGGCAGGCAGACAAACCATGCAGTTATCTGTTACCATTAGATATAAGTTACTGGCGTGATAGCAGGACGGAAGCTTTCTTCATTTTCTCTATTAATACTGAAATACTTTAGTTTTGGTGCCTGGTTCTGCAGTCCCTTAAAGCTCACATTAATGCTAGCATAGGGGACCCGGGGGAACTTAATCATAACTTCAGGTCGTTTACAATAATCCTTTTGTTTTCGGATCTGATGCCCCAATGGTCTATGGACATGGGTTCGCTTTTTTGAGGTGCGGGGAGGCTTTTTGACAGGGAGGGCTGCCAGGTTGTAAAGGCTCTGCACATCCCCATTACCTTTGGTTATAGCACCGGCCAACGACATTGATGGAGGAGCCGGGTTGGCTGGCTTAATAGTCTGAAGATCAGTCGACTCGACGTTATTGACAGCTAAGGTTGGACGATCGAGTCTGTCAATGTTGGGAATCGTGTAGTTGTTAGAGACAGATGAACTGGAGACCATCTTTTTACCAGCCCAGGCACTGCAGCTAGAGATGGGTAGAGAACCTGACTTCTCGGCCTTGGGGAAAGACAGAGGTTGGGACGTGGAGACCTGACTATTGTTGTCCTTGTCTTTGCTCTCCTTGCTGGTTTCCTTCGAGTCTTTGCTGTTCTCGCGTGTCTCCTTTGTCTCCTTGCTGGCTCGGCCGCTGGATTCTGAGTAACAACTAGAGTGACTAGAGGACGGTGTGACTTGGTTTTGTTCATTTTGTGATTTGTGATGACTAGTCCTTTTTTGTGTGTTATATTTGTGCGGATGATCCTGACTTTCGCCTGGCGCCGACTTACCCTTCGCTGGAGCACTATTGGATGCATTTGTATTCTTGTGACTTGCTTCGAAGTTTTCACTTTGAGGTCTTTTGGTAGTGGGTGGTGCTGGCTTGAAGCTTAGTTCTTTGCTCTCTGTGCTAAATGCTGGAGGTTTCCGAGGAGAAAAGTAGGCCTCATTATCCAGGCTCTTTCGTACATTGTTAAAGCCGAATGGTTTTCTCACAGTTTGTCCCTCAACACAGAGATTGGTGCCTATGTAGGGGGGAACAGTCACCAAAGGCTGTTTGAATGCCAGCTCAAACCTCCCTATATCACAATTCCGATCGTAACGCCTATCCACCACCACTGAAACAAATACAACTTCATCAACATCATTATCTTCATTAATGACCATTTGTACTAAGGATATGTTAATACTGTACTTGTCTTTTAATACTAGTTCCTGAATAAGAATATCAAACTTTCTATCAAATAGTATCAAAAAAATAATGAAGAATCTCTTACACATAACTTTTGTTTAAATAAAGATAAAGTACTTATACCAAAAGAGTTTATTTGTTTTCATAACGGACATCTTTATAATGATACTTATAAACTGTAAGAAACTAAATGATAAGAAGAAAGATGCAGAAATACTTCAACACATAAAATGTAAGAAACTACCTTTAATGGAATCCTAACACATGTAATATGATAAGTGGACAGTACTCACCTTTAATGGAGTCCTCTAACACATTCACTAGATGATAACACATTTAGTAACACATTAGTACACTAGATGATAAGTGGACAGTACTGACCTTTAATGGAATCCTCTAACACATTAGTACACTAGATGATAAGTGGACAGTACTCACCTTTAATGGAGTCCTCTAACACATTAGTACACTAGATGATAAGTGGACAGTACTCACCTTTAATGGAGTCCTCTAACACATTAATACACTGAATGATAAGTGGACAGTACTCACCTTTAATGGAATCCTCTAACACATTAGTACACTGAATGATAAGTGGACAGTACTCACCTTTAATGGAGTCCTCTAACACATTAGTACACTAGATGATAAGTGGACAGTACTGACCTTTAATGGAATCCTCTAACACATTAGTACACTAAATGATAAGTGGACTGTACTGACCTTTTATAGAATCCTCTAACACATTAGTACACTAAATGATAAGTAGACAGTACTGACCTTTGATGGAATCCTCTAACACATTAGTACACTGACTTTCCAACACATGCACTTAATGGGGACAGTACTGTTTAATGGAATCCTCTAACACATTAGTACACTGAATGATAAGTGGACAGTACTGACCTTTTATAGAATCCTCTAACACATTAGTACACTAAATGATAAGTAGACAGTACTGACCTTTAATGGAATCCTCTAACACATTAGTACACTGAATGATAAGTGGACAGTACTCACCTTTAATGGAGTCCTCTAACACATTAGTACACTAGAGACAGTACTGACTTTAAATCAACACATTACACTGAAATCAGCACCATTTATAAGTCCTCTAACACATTAGTACACTAAATGATAAGTAGACAGTGACCTTTAAGAGAGACATTAATACACTGAATGAGATACATTTAATGGAAATCAACACATATAATTGATAAGTGGACAGTACTCACCTTTAATGGAGTCCTCTAACACATTAATACACTGAATGATAAGTGGACTGTACTGACCTTTTATAGAATCCTCTAACACATTAGTACACTGAATGATAAGTGGACAGTACTGACCTTTGATGGAATCCTCTAACACATTAGTACACATGCGCCGGGTGATCTCTGTACTACTCTCCATGCTGGGGCTGGATTATTCTTCAACAATGTTATATGAAATCAGCGCCATATAATTCAAACGATGACTGTCAAAGAGAGATAACTCAAATCAGATACATGAAATCAGCGCCATATAATTCAAACGACGACTGTCAAAGAGAAGCAATATATTCAAATTATTCTTGACAATGTGATATCTTTACATTTTTTAAAAAACAGTATATTAATAGTTATTTATTCAGAACAGTTATTGAGGCAAAAACACTTTTATTTATCATTTCTCTTCAAAGTTTAATGAATTCTACGTTATTTCTATGCACACGGTGGATTTGTTCTGTCTTAATATTTAATTATTTTGTGCATATGCTTAGTAAAAATAAAAGAAGCATATTGACCTAGGTGCAATACTACAACTGTGATTTCATTGAAAACTAAGGAAAGATGTAACAAAAAACATTATATCTTCAGCATCAGCTAAAGACAATATCTCTATTCAAACAATAATAACTAATCTGCAAGAAAAAGTTCTCTTCAATCTAAAAATAATCACAATACCAAAAGAACAAAAGAAACTTAAAACATGCCAATTCAACATTGCTGCTTTTGGTATTTTTGTAATATAAAAAGAAATGTAGCTATTTCATCAATCTGGGGATGCTTTGTATACAGTTTTATTGAAATACTTTGAAATTGACGTTAAGCGACAAATATTGACATGATTGAAATGATGTAAAAAATTCCCACCAATGTACAAGATGTAATGAAAATTTCTTGAACAGATTCTTTAAATTGAACTAAAAGAAAATTATGGATAAGTTATAGAAGAACAAAAAGAATGTCCAAAGAATAAATGGATTGAGGAATAAAAACTTTAAGACGAAAAGACGGGAAACAGGCAAAAAAATTATATATGTCACAACCCTATTCAAGGCTAGGTATAAAGAGTAAATTCCGTATTTCTTGCTGAATATGACTAGAGTAAGATAATAGAATCTATGAGGGTGAAGTTATAAAAGCCAGGGTCTTAAATAAATGTCCGTATACGTGCTGTGACAACTCACCTTAAATGTGGAGGGCTAAAACATAGAATACGTGCTTCATAATACATGTCAATCCTATGCATCCAAATTTTCTGTTCATCGAATTATGAAGTTGTTCATTGTCCTCATATAATCTTAAAACATCTTATTTTAATTCCAAATTGCGGTTAAAAAAATTATTTATCAAAAAATCAATGCAATATACAGGCTATTACATATATATTTAAAATCTAAATGTTATATTTTTCCATCCAATGACACAGGATTGACATGTATACTGTAAAGAAGGTCAACAACACAAAGCGTGTGTCAAAAATATGAGTCACACTAAGATCAGAAGTAGTTGACGAAAAGTTCGATTTTAACGTGCAATGTCATTGGATCAGCAAATTAAAGAATGTAATGTTGATGTCAGGAAATTCGATGATTCAAGTCCACCTCTTCACGTTTTTAGAATAACCAAATCTTAAGTTTGATTCAATGCAATCTGTTAGAGTGATATGTCATATTTTTGCAATTCTACATTGAACAAACATCTATTATCTTATTAAATTTTCATAATACGAATGCAATATGGAAAAAAAAACAACTAGTAATTGTATATCTATTCAGACTGCGGTTTCACTGAGCTACATGTATATTGTATAAACTTCATATTGAATAAGATAACTGTAAATTCCAATGTTCCATGGTCAGAAAGACATGATAAAATGAATCTTACGCAAATAACAAACACAGAATGAATTACGATTTAAATCCAAACAATTAATGTCACCAAAACTCCATCAAAAACAAAAACAGGTTAGAAGTCGACCAATTCACTAACTACCCCATACCAAACATTCTAACAAATGCTCATGAGCAGCTCATGAGACTCACATGAGAATCAAGTAAGAATTGTATGCAAATTAGGTAGAATTGGATTTTGCTCATGTGCAGATTGTTAGTCTTTGTTAGGGAGGAAAATACTAACCAAAATGCACATGTGCAAAATTATGCTCACCTCAATGCTCATGAGCAAAAGTCTATTCAATTTGCTCACCTAAGAACAGCCTTATTTAAGATATAGCATTGGTAGTAATTTTTCTAAGTTCAGTTTTCTCATGTGAGCAAGAGGTGAGAAATTGGACATAGTCAAAATTCAGTATTACAAGTAGAACCAAAACCAAAGAATTACAAGTCTCAATTCCTCACGTGAGGCTCAGGTGAGGAAATACAATACTTTGACACTCTATGTGGTCCAAGCTTTCCCAAGCCTTTATTACAAATTGAACATGTGTTAAGTGTTAACACTTCTGATGATAGCATCACAAATGATTGGGGACCAAGCAGGAATATCTTAATTTCTTGAGCTTCTAATCTTCATATTCCCATCAGTTTGAAAATGCTTTCCTCTACCTAAACAACCTGTTGTGTCCCCCACTGTTACTTAAAGCAGGGCATTATCCAATGAGGAGAGCCAGTCAGGATTTGTGCGCCTTCTCAGACCAGTTCAAAATTTCAATACAAAATGTTTGTGATGAACATTGAAAGTATATTATGGATTAATACAGTGAAGAACTGAAATATGCTTTTGGAAATGACATGTCATCACCATATTGAACTAGATGCCAGCCTTCAAAATTTACAAATGTATCCAGTATGTCCATGGGATGAGGGTATGATTAAAGATCAGTTAGATATTACCATGGTGCAGCCACAATGAAGGGAAATTTCAAAGATTTGCTGATCTGAGAATAGGGTAAGTGCTTTGAAAATTATCATCCCCCCTCTCATTTCAGATATTACTAATTAAAAAAAATAATATGTTTGTGTTTTAATTATCAGTGTATTTAATTTTGATATATTTCATGCAGAATATGTTATCAGGAATTACAGTTGAATTAAGAACTATAAATATGGTAAGAACAGATTAGGTCAGTCAGTGTACAATTGACAGCCTCAGTGTGGTATTCTATGAATTATGTGTATTTAAGTTGCTTATAAAATATTGATGCATATGATTTAATTTCTACTGACTGGCTTTTCATGACCAATGGAACCTTGAAAATATACTAAAATATACAACTATAACTTCAAATTTTTTGCAGATAAAAGTTGGAATCAAAGGATCTGCAAATTAATCACGGACCCTAGGTGAGCTTGCATACATGACGGAGTTCTGATGTTTGCACTCATTTAAAGGAAATGCAAGGAAAAAGAATGGAAGTCAGGATGAATTGATTATGATTCTTATGACCACTGGATTATTATTTTACACCCAAGTATGACTGCATGCCACTCATAAATTCAGCAAAGGCAAAAACATCTACTTAGCCTCCAAGACAACTTTAATCCATCAAGTACTAGTGCAGTCAAAAATGATGACTGGACATTTACATTGGATGTTCTATGTTAATCTACTGGAAATGGAACTATTGGATAATGATACTTTGATTGATATGTACTGTACATAATTATAATAATATAATTAAATTTTTTATTCATTTTAAGTTTAAAAAATGAAGTTCACTGAACATAATTATGCATGCATCTATTTACATGTACATGTTGCTCAAGAGTATTTAAAATGTAATTGATGAATCACATTTTAAAATTACATAATTATATAATGTTTGTAATCTGAATTTTGTTCTATTGTTGCTTGTTCCAAGTGAGCAATTGTTGCACATGAGTCTCATGAGCCTCATGTGAGCAATATTCTAGGTGAGCAAAATGATTCCTCACATGAGCAAAAAATGCTAATCAATGCAGAACCCTGCTCATGTGAGCATTTTACCTAATTTGCATGTTAAATTGCACATGAGACTCACGTGAGCAACTCAGGTGAGGAAATCTGGTTAGTCCTCACGTGAGCTGCTCATGAGCAAATTGTGAGAATGGTTTGGTATGGGACATTAAAGATTCCAACATATGATGGTGAGAACTTTATTTTTGTATGGAAGTTAAAAAACTGTCTTTACCTTTCTGTATTCTATGACATCTTGTGTAGACAATAAGGCACAAATAATGGCTTTCTTCATTCCGGGGTAGATCAGGTCATCCCATGTATTACCGTGACCCTGGCCCCTGAAAGGTAGGGTACACAGGTTAAATATTCCTTTCTTATAACATGTTTTAATACTGCTATAATGTATTTGCTTACCATAAAGAAGTTTCACAGTTCTAGAAATTTTGTTATTACAGTGATTACTATACTTTTATTACTTATCTAATACCTAACTTTTCAAGAGTGCATCCAAGTCTATTTTATTTCATCAAAAATTAATAAATTTAAAATTTCTGTGACGTATATATATAATTTGAACATCTTACTTGATGTAGTCCTGGAACTGTTCATGAGTCCACATGTTTTGTGAGGGCAGGAGTGGGTGTCTAGGACCGTTCTTATAATACTTCTGGATGGCGTTGTTGGACAGATGAATGGACTCATCGAAGTCGTCGAGTGTGTATTCCTGAGAACAGAACCTGAGGTAGCTGTCCTGGTAAAACCAGATGGTAAGAGGGTTCCAGTCTGTCACCAAGAACCACTGACGGATGTCAAACTTACAGTTATAAATCAGAAGGGGCCGCTCTGAAAACACAACAATAATTATTGTCACCAGGAACAACTGACTGATGTCAAACTTACAGTTATAGATCAGAAGGGGCCGCTCTGAAAACACAACAATAATTACTCTCATAGTATATATTTATCAGTGGAGCTGCAAGTTAATATCTTTTGTACACCACTTCTATTTTGTAACCACATGATAATTTAAATTGTCAAGATTTGTTTTTATTTAACGAACCCTCTGACCACTACACTACGCAGTTAAAAATAAATCTACAATGTTATATTGCAATTCAAGATTTAATTATTTTCATTTCCAAAAATTCTATGATGCATGCATACTTACCCATATACTTTTGCACAACATATTTGTTGTCTTTGCGTACCACTTGACTACTAACTAATTTCAACATGTCCTCCAATTTATCATAACATACAATTCCTAGAGAAAAGGAAAATCACACTTTTAATATACTACGATGCAAATAAAATAAAATAATCAAAAGTTAACATCAGTCTTTCAGTGATGAAAACACAACTTTACAGGAATGTATAAAAATTTTTAGAGTGGCATTCCTCCTTAATAAAGATTTAGAACTTTGATCAGAAAAACTCTCAAGAGTCTTAGGCTTGAAATAGTGATTATCAAAGTAATTCCTACAAATTGAGGGTTCTTGTTACCTCTTCCTCTGGACTTAGCTCCTGGTTTCACAATCCAGATATTCTTATGTCCATCCATATCAAACTGAGGCATATTGAGTTTAAGATTGTATAAAAGCCTATCTACTTCTGCTAACATACTCCCTGACACATTGGCTATAACGCCGCCATCACTGTAAAGATACACGTGACAAAAATTACAATGGCTAACTTTCCAATACATTATTTTATATCCCAAAGAAATAAACTAGTATTTTTTGTGGAAAGAAAAAAATGGTGAAACTTAATAATAAACATTTTTAAGTATTGTGCCAAGAGATTCACTTTTAGACTAACATTTTGGAGAAAGCTTTGTTATTTGGAATTTTTTGTACTTAAATAGAAATTAAAACTGAAAGACTTACTTTACAAGCTGATAATACCACTTAATAGTTTCGTCCCATTGTTGTTGTGTTAATTCATGTGGCTGGAAAAAAAAACCAAAGCAGTCAGGTTAAGGATGTTATTTTAACTCTGGCATACACACGTAAAAACCTTTTTTGTAAAAGTTTAATTTTGAAAATGTGGCTGGAAAAATAAACAAAAACAAAGCATGTAGGTTAAGAATGATATTTAGTTCTGACATAAACATCTCTCTCGTAAAAGTTTGAAAATACATCAATATGAGCACAAAATGTACATGTACTATTTATCCAGGAATGACATTTAGCATATCATTTTATAATCTGCAGAGAAAATCAGAACTGGCAATTAATGCTTGTCTCTATAAAATATACAATACAATTAAGTTCTTGTATACACCAATTTCAATTAGAACTCAAAATTCAAAGAATATAACTAATATGATATATTGTATATCTGTTTTTTTTTAAAATATATTTTGATCAATATATGCATAATTAAAAAAACAAGAGGCCCAGGGGCCACATTGCTCACCTGAGCAATTGGCTAGGAAAAATCACACATCAGATCAGAACTGAAAGTTTGGTGGGGGGGGGGGGGGGCTTGAATTTTAACCCCCCGGGGGTCATGATTTGACCAAACATGAATCTACAATACCTGAGGATGATTCCTTATAAATATCACTAAGCATGGCTTTAAAGTACTTGAAAACAAGATTTTAAAAGGTTTCCCTAGATATTCCTATGTAATTTTTTTATCGGCCATTTTGGCCCCACCCTACCCCCGGGGGTCATGATTTGAACAAACTTGAATCTACACTACCTGGGGATGATTCCACATGAGTTTCATCTTTCCTGTCTCAATCGTTCTTGAGAAGGAGATTTTTCCTATATATTCCTATGTAAAACTTTGATTGGCCATTTTAGCCCTACCCTACCCCCGGGGGTCATGATTTGAACAAAATTGAATCTACACTACCTGAGGATGATTCCGCATGAGTTTCATCTTTCCTAGTCCAGTGGTTCTTGAGGAGATGGTTTTTAAAGATTTTTCCTATATATTCCTATGTTAAACTTTGATTGGCCATTTTGGCCCCACCCTACCCCAGGGGGTCATGATTTGAACAAACGTGAATCTACACTACCTGAAGATGCTTCCACATGAGTTTCATCTTTCCTGGTCCAGTGGTTCTTGAGAAGAAGATTTTTAAAGATTTTTCCTGTATATTCATATGTAAAACTTTGATGGGCCATTTTGGCCCCACCCTATCCCTGGGGGTCATGATTTGAACAAATTTGAATCTACACTACCTGAGGAAGATTCCACTTGAGTTTCATCTTTCCTGGCCCAGTGATTCTCGAGAAGAAGATTTTTTAAAAATGCCATTAATTTTTTTCTAATTCATAATTATCTCCCCTTGGAAAAGGGCGTGGCCCTTCATTTGAACAAACTTGAATCCCCTTTACCCAAGGATACTTTGTAGCAAGTTTGGTTGAAATTGGCCCAGTGGTTCTTGAAAAGAAGATGAAAATGTGAAAAGTTTACAACAACAACAACGACAAATTAATGACTACGAGGACAACAACAACGAAGACAGACAACGGACAAATTTTGATCAGAAAAGCTCACTTGAGCCTTTGGCTCAGGTGAGCTAAAAAGGAATTTGACCTCAGATATTGCTTTGGTCTAGAACGTAACTATAGATCTCTCTGTAAAGATTTGATTTTTTAAGCAAAAAATATACTCTGCATATAAGTATAATCTTTATGCAGCTGTTTTTTAACATTAAAATATTAATTGTTTCAAAATATAAGAAGTAAACAAATGCATGTTAAAGTTCATTATACCATAAAAGCAGAATTTTTAGCGAGGACTGAATTTCGGCACTATTAGAGAGGGTGCTTAGATAGCTAAAATTAAATTTATAAAAATTATTGTGTTTTATTTGCAATTGCTTCTTATAGTTGAGCATTTTAAAATCGCTAAATTTTCTTCCTGCTAAAAATTAAAGACCAGATTTTAAGGACAAATCACTAAATTTGTGTAGCTAAAATTTCCACTTTGTTGAGATATTAGAATATATTTATTCTAAAATGTAGAAAGAGATGGAAGCTTACATCATTTAAAACATCTATATCATCATGTCCTCTCTCCTCTATAAATTTATCACACTGCTTCATTGCTCTCTCCAAACACGTGATCGGGACGACCACTTTCTTCTTTTTCTTCACTCCCTTCTGTTTTACAGAACGACTTGTTACTGTAACAGAGAATGGTAACTATATGTACTTTTCTTCCAAAATTAAGGACTGTGAAACTAATTTTTGCAGGGTTTTAATATTCGTTGAATTTGAGGTATGAAAAGACTCACAAATTCATCCACTATGAAATGTTCATTGCAATTTTTCACTGATATTACTACTCACTTTTTCATCATCAATTTGAAAATAAATTCCCACTAACACATATTTTTTTTCACTCATCTGACAAAAATTGACCTTATAAAATTGTGATTTTACAGTAATTTTCAGAAGACTTATTTTTTTTCTCTTTTATGTCTAAATCTTGTGATTACAATACCTGGTGTTTTAGCGCTTTCTGTGGGTCTGATAACCTCTGGCGTTTTATCTTTAGGTTTATTTTCCTTGTTTTCAGACTCCAGTGTTTTCTGCTCGGACTTTTCTAATCGTTCTTTAGCGTGAGCACACACATTCCCCGAGGAGACATCTGGTTTAGACCGAGTACACTCGGGGTTTGTACACACAAAGTCTTCTTCCTTTTTATCCGAGTTTGAGTCACTTTTCTCACTTTTGTCTCCGTTTTTATCCGTTTTTTCGGACCCGGTATCTTTTTTTTCCTCCCCATTATCTTTATTTTCATTTTCCTCAGGTATAATTTCATCTTTATATTGACTAGATATTATCTTCAGAATATTAACACACATTGTAAGCCTATAATCATCTGGAATAAAAGAAAAAAAAATTACTGTGGCATTGAAAAATATCTGTCAATGAGCACGAACAAGAAAAATCCATACTCTATTTTTTATTAACGTTTTTATTTCAGGAAAAAAAATCTATCAGCTGATGTCTGAAATGCTGTCCATCTTATTAAAGTGACTATAAATTTACTTCTCACTCATACAAGAAAGATTATTATACTTTCATGTTAAATACTAAAATCTGATTGGTTTAGACGCAGGTAACAATCTGTTCGATTACCCTGAGCCTTAGCAACACACGAGACAACGGGTAACACAACGGTAATGCCACATGTGTGGAAATTATGCGCGTACAGTTCACCGTAGAATTCTCAAAACGTCGGTTGCGCGTTTGAAAAAACCGGAATTAACTTGACGTCAATAAAAGCTTGCGCCCGATAAAGCTTACTTGAAAACAACAAATGACAGACGATACATGCTTGTGAGTGTAGGAAACATACTTGCGAGCCAGAAATAACGAAACTTTATATGATAAATGACTCGAATTTGAGTATCAAACAAACAGTAAAGGAGATTAGTAAACTGGTGAGTGTGAAAGCTTTCTATATATGAACGTAAAGACGATCGACGGTTTTTTTTTTGCTGATGTCCTAAATCCACAAGACATTCAGTATAATAAAATAAATGGTGCCTGTTTTGTAGGGTAACATTTGAAATTGACACCCCTCGGAAAACCATTGTCAACCTCCGGTGACGCGTCGGTTGACAATTTTTTTTTTACTTGGGGTGTCAATTTCAAATGTTACCCTACAAAACAGGCACCATTTATATAATGTTTTATATATATATATACGAGGGTTGTTATATATATATATATATATATATATATATATATATATATATATATATATAGAAACAAAATAAACATGAATGTTTAGTTTAATTAGCAAAGCATGCTCAAACATTATAACATGAAATAATCCGTATCTATTGATCTCTTATTGAAAAAAACCTTAGAATTTGTCAACTAATATTTTAATAAAGTTATCCATTAAGACCATATCAAGTATGGATCATAAAGATATTTACCAATGAAGGAATTTTTCTCCTCCTCGTGACTTAGACGGTAACATCGTGGGTAGAAGGTGTCTGGATCAGAATTATCAAACCAAGGAACATTTCTCATGTTGATACACAATCCAACCTACAATATCAAACCAAGGAACATTTCTCATGTTGATACACAATCCAACCTACAAAATTAAACACTTGCTTTCGTGCGCCGGTGTACATTTCTCACATTGATTGAACTGCATGATCCAAAATGTTACCTATGACAAGGAAAGAAATTTAATAAAGTAAAGAAATTAAACTGCCATGGAACATTATATATAGAAACAAAATGTTGATGCACAATTCAACCTACAAAATGTAATACATGCATTTCTTTTATTTTTACATTGAACCTTAATGAAAAACTTCTATAGGATATATAGACAACTTTATCAGGCATTTCGCTATTAATTTTTAATGTGAAAAAAGCAAATGTTTGTATTTTACATGTAGGCCATGTTGGTTTTTCTCATCAAGCTGCCAATTAAATGAGACATTGCAGAAAACTTTAGTAAAAAAGCCATTAAATGAGATAACAATTTACAGTTAATATGAAAGAAAATGGGTTAAAAAAAACATGTTGTACATCAGTTTGTGAAAGACAGTTTTGATCTGGGATTGAAGATAATAATTACAGTAGGAAAATTGTAGAAAATGTTAATGGTACTAGATTGCAAGTAACATTTATGATAAAAGCTAGATTAAGAAAAACAAAAATGAGATAAGATTGTACAAGTAAACAGTTTTGATATGCCTTTGCAAATAACAATATTATATAAATTTGATTGTAAATTACATTTATGATACAATGGGATAAAATTGTAGAAAACAGTTTTGATAAAAAATTGCATTTCACATTTATAATAGGAGGTTGGAGAAATGATCCATGCTTCGAGTTTGTATATTACACAGAAACAATGAGACTTTACCTTTGTGGTAAAGGAGCCTGCCTTCACGTAGTGGTTAACCATCTGGTCCTTGGTTAGAAACCTGTAGTCTACAATATCTCTTTTCAAGACCCAGATAAAGGTAGGATTAACATTCCTCACGATCCGAGACTGAAACAAACACACAAAAGTTACTCATCAAATACAGTCAATGTAAGGCAGTTCTTCTGAAACATTATCTATATGTTAAGATTCTCTATGGAAGATGTATACACACCATTATTCCGTATATCCCATCATCCTCCTCCCATGGTGGAATCTTCGGCTGATCATCTACAAGGTGAAATGTTAGATATTAATGAAGTTTTAAAGGAGAGAAAAAAACTCATTGTGTTTTAATTAAGCATTATCTTGTAATGTGAAGACTCTATATATACAAGTGAAAAATTCTGAAACAAAATGTTAAACAACAAACGCTTCATAAAATGTAAAGTTAACATAATAAAACACATCTTTATCACTGTCAACATTATTATCATTAGACATTATCATAATACCATTAAAGTAACAACTTATTAATAACAAACTTATCATGATAAGATCTAATTAACTTCTTATCACTATAACAATCATCAAATCATCTAATTTACAACTTACTATTGCTAACACCATCATGATAACATCTAAATAAAAACTTACAATTGCTATCCCCGTCATCAAACCATTTATTTTACAACTTATCACTACATGTAACACCATCATGATAACATCTAATTAACAATTTCGTTTTGCTATCACCATCTTCATCAAATCAACAACTTACTAATGCTATCATCATAAAATCATCTAAATAACAACTTACTATCGCTATCACCATCATTAACTCATCTAAATAACAACTTACTATCGATATCACCATCATCAAAACATCTAAATAACAACTTACTATCGCTATCACCATCATCAAATCATCTAATTTACAACTTACTATCGCTATCACTATCATCAGATCATCTAATTTACAACTTACTATCACTATCATCATCAAATCATCTAATTAACAACTAACTACCTCTATAATCATCATCAAAACATCTAAATAACAACTTACAAATAAATTGATATCACCACTTTACATCAATTGTTAGCATTTAAATAACAATTAAAAAATCTTCACTTTCGATATCCACCATCATCAAATCATCTAAATAACAATATTGTCATCATAAAAAATTTCGTTGTCACAAAACATTTCATCAAATATTTTCTTACACAAGTTTTACTAAATAATCCATGAAATTCACCATTTTTTTCATCAAATCTTTTTTTTATCTAATTAACAACTTACTATCGTTACATGAATCACCTTCATCAAATTATCTAAATAACAACTTACTATTTTTTTCCTACATGTATCACCTTCATTAAATCATCTAATTAACAACTTACTATCGCTATCACCATCATCATCATCGTCATCATCATCATCATCGTCGTCATCATCGTCATCATCATCGCTATCGTCGGCTGTTTTACGACGCTTCCTATAAATTGATTGTTTTCTTGTCAGGTTTTTCAGCTCTTTACATTTTTTTTTTTTTCAAAATTTCATAATTTCCAACGAGCATCACTAAGTGTAAGATTTTATTTTTCAAAACACGTAACTGGTGTATCTAAATTGGTACCATAAAACATTTATGTTGTTGCTTGTTATAACTCCCATGGATCGTGAACACTTTACGGTTCTGTCAAATAGCATTTATATGACCAAATAAATCCATTATTCACCACTTTACATCAGTATTGTTAATAAGTAACATTTTGATCATTAAAAAAATCATCAAAAAATTCTTTCAATTTCCGTTTTTGTTATACAGCCATTGAGTAAAAGGATATTTATCAGTCCTTACCAATTGGTACATGTTAATTTCGTTGTCACAAAACATTTCTTTTTTTTAAGCCTTCAGGTATATTTTCTTTCACAGCCAAGTTTTAATAAATAATCCATGAAATTCATGAGCTATTTTTTTCCCAATCAAAATAAACTTTTTTTTAAAATAAGTATGTTTTATTCAAACTCTCTACCATTATGCAAATATTTTAGTCATGTTTTCAGAATGTTACTTTTCTTTTGTATGCTCTTCAAGGTTTCTTTTTGTAAATACTTTTTCATGACAATATCATGGATTTAAAAGATACTGAAGTTGTAAATCTTTTCTTTTCCATTTATCTTATGCAACTAAACAAATCTTTAATAATTGATAAGTAAATCAAAAGTCCCCAGCTTCCGTGAATGCTTCATTATTGGATTCCAATATCAATCCAATAGAAATCATTTTTCTGTCAGATATACTTAAAAAATATAGCAATTTTGCATCAATTATTTAAGACAGGCCGTTGTATTGATCCAGCCGACTTTATTCTTTATGACAGTTACCTTTTGTCAACAATAAAATTCCTGTTTGTCTCGTGTTTTATTCTGACGTTCCTCCTATTCAATAACTATAAATTGATTCTAATACTTTTGTCAGCTGTTTTTCAGCTCTTTAAAGATTTTTTTTTTTTCAAAATTTCATAATTTCCAACGAGCATCACTAAGTCTAAGATTTTATTTTTCAAAACACGTAACTGGTCTATCTAAATTGGTACCATAAAACATTTAAGTTGTTGCTTGTTATAAAAATCTCTCTATAACACTGGAGACGTCTCTGCGTGAGTGAAAAATTTTCCAATGGCAGGTAAAACAACATTACAATCAGTCTTTAGCACCCTGGTGGACGTCCTGCATACCTTTATGGCCTTTTCCGCCTGTTCTTTTGCTGCCTTCAGACGATCTGTACTGGAGTTAATGTTGGTCAGTTTCCGTGAGATTTTGGGCCGTCCCAGGGAGGGCATGGTCTTACTGCGGGACAGGGACTCGGCCACGTCGCCATCCAGGTCTATTTACCCCCAAAATATAATATAAGGTTAGATAAGTGACACGGAATACTAAACTCAGATTCATATCTTGTTCAATAAAAAAAAAAACTAAGAGAATCGAGAGATTTATAGCTGTCAAGTTATAAATTAAATTGGATATGGGATTTTCAAAGCAAGCTCTTAGTATAGATGTGCAAAAAATATCAATAAAGTTAACTGAACGATAACATTTCATTTTGATTGCCTTAAAAGGTAATATAAAGATCATCAATACTTATAGGTATTTCCAACCTGTTTAATTATATTACTTTCAAGACCTTCCATGATTGTTTGAAACGTTGTACCTAAAGTTGTACTTTTATGTGATAATTCCTACATGTATGTTATATTATTAAATACAGGTTAGATTTTATGTTTTATTTCAATCTACATAAAATTCAAATTAAATTTTATTAGTATAATTTCTGCTATTAAAATTGTTAACTGTGGTTGGTTTTGTCAAAAACAAGGTCACCATTCAAAATTAAAGCAAAATAAACTGACAAAACAATATAAATCTATTGTTATTTGACAATTTATTACCCCTGTACCTAAACACTGTAAATTGTTATATAAGAAGTGTGTTGATCAATTTCATATCACAGGTTGAGGAAATAGTCCAGTAATAATAATAAGTAAATTGAAATGTTATAAAAAGAGGAATAATTTCCTTATAAGTGCATATTTGTCACTGTACAATTGATTTAAGACCTAAGCTTAATATCATTCTGTGTGTGTAAATAAAACATTTTAAAAGATGTTCTTTCTTTCCCTTTTTATAAGCAATTTTAGCTATTGTCAAAAGAAACATGAATTTCATATTTTTGAAACCATATAGAATTTTTAAAATATTGCCAATAGTTGCCAATTTTGTTAAATATGTATTATTAAAGTATTAACACAGTAAGTTTGGATTTAAAATAAGCATATGTATTGTTCTGTATTTCATATTTGCCTTTCAAATACTGATACGTTTGTGAACATGTTAAGTTTTCTTGTTTTTGTTTGGTTGTTTTTTTTATCATTTTTATTATTTTGACAGAGAGAGAAATTAATCAGGGAATAATTGTTTATTTAGAATTTTATGTATTTATAATACAAAAGTATTATTATGTAAATATACCCTTGTTACATACGTTACACACCACATATAATTGATTTTCTTTGTTATGTGACAAATATGCCAGTTATTTAGGGAAACACAGGTTAGGGTTCTTCCATATCTTTACCTCCGTGGCAGTTTTGCGGGGAATCAGAAATATCGGGGGTCTCAGTACTAGTTACCCCTTCTTCTGCAACTGACATAAAAACAAAATCATCAGCCCACTGCACCCTCATGCATCATTAAAATAGCAATAGAAAATGATGGTTAAAGTGAACACATTATACAGCTCATTTTTGGAAAATAAATTATTATCCATATTGAGATTTTTTATAGTTATTTGAAGGGTTTCCTATATTGTACTTAGCAATTAAAAACTGAAATTATTAATATACATTCAAACAATTAAAAAATTTCCTCTGTAATTAACATTTTAATTATTTGGATACCACGATTGCTTCGACAATTTAAGTCAGATGAATTTTAAACCAGGTAATATGTTATTCTTTCAGCTGTTGTCTGAACTTAGAAAGAACTTTGACGTTTGCATCCTCTAAACTTGCTCACAAACTATTGTAAGGCGCTAATTAGATACAAGGAGTGTTTTACTTTTACTGAGTATTTGAAACTTGATGAATTTTACACTAGGCCATGTATTTTCATTTGTTACGTAATTTACTGCTAAAACATTTAGATCATTTGTAGTCTGTTCTTTTTAAACTCCTTACGAGAAAATTAGGTATGTGATGAAGAACTATTCCAAAATTGATATTGCTAATAGGAATTCCAACCATTTCTCAAGGATTTTGTACAGAAATAGCCAAAAGAACATATTTTCTATCAAATTATATTTTGAGTTTAAGAAATTTCCCTAAGATGAAGATTAAAGTTATCATTTACTGCACTCAAATCTGTGTCAAATGAAAAGAAACATTTCCTCAAACATTACATTCAGGCATAATTATACAAACTTTCACAATATAGAGTGAAGGAATTTTCATGCAGTTATCTATTTTTTTATTGTTTTAGTTAAGACATGTAGTTAATATTCAAAAAATATATTCAGATGCATGCACACATTTACAGAGACTGCAAATAAAATCTGAAAATAAATTTCTGATAACAACAGACGTTCTTAAAAAAAATCAATGACAACACTGCCATGCATAACTATTCGAAGCTGTTTGACTTCTATTAGTATACAACAGATATTTAAATACCCCTCCGTCTTGGAATATCTTTATTATCTGGAATAATATTTATTATCAGTGTATTGTTTGGTGGATAGGCAGATTAAAGGAACTGTCAACACCCCCTTTGTAAATAAAACAAATTAAAGGTCTCCCACAATAGAGACACCCTTAACATATTGATATGAAGTTAAAATGTTTAGGTCTTTAGTTTTAATGTTGACATTGTTATGCAATAGGTTTTTTTTACAAACTAGGTCAGGTGGTCATGTAAAAAAAGCCTATTATTTTGTAGCTTTTTATCATTAGTCAATTTTTGTTTTCAAAGAAATTAGGGTTAACAAATGTGTAACCTTGAAAAAAAATGAAGTTCCTTATAATTACTCAAATATAAAGTCCAAAATAAAAACATTTAGATGTCCATCTCATATTTCTAGTTTAAAAGAATTATTTATACTCTGACTTTAAAATGATAAAAAAGGGGTTGTTTTTAAAAATGTGTTTAAGAAGTACAAAGGACTCCTCCTAGATAGTTTATCAACTATCTCTATGACAAATATCGAACCAAAAAGGTAAAATATTTTTTTTAATGCAAACATTCTGCACAAAAATAAACCACAAGAAGGAACAGACATGAAATGACACCATAAAACATTACCTTACAATTAATTTCACAAGAAATATACATAGTTATTCTAATGCAAATTTTGTTCTTTTAATAAATTATTCTTCATATATGTACATATACATGTATAGTGCCTTCCCATGAAAATGTATCGATTTATCAAGAAACTATTGAAGGTTGGGTATTTCAGTATTTTTAAAGCTCAAATTTTTACTGGAATGCAATTGTAGTACATTTAAGTGTCAGGTTTTTTTTAATATATAAGATTTAATATAATACTCCAGTCTTTAGTGTTTATCTTTTATTTTTTATTCAATCCTACCAATCACATACAGCAATTGTGATTGTAAATGCATAATTTTCTGTATTGATTTTATTCTTTTACTTCCAATTCAATTGAAGATATTTATCATGTTAATTCTTGCTTCATTTTTGCTTAAACAGCATACATTTCTATAAATTTGTAAAACCCTCCAAAATTTATGCATGCCATCTTTATAATAAGGTTTGTTTGCCTCTCCAGACTAAGGGTAAAACTATTAGGTCAGTAAGTAGGTGCAATTTTCCCCCCAGAAAATGTTAACATATTTGTTAACAGGGTCCATAGTAGAGGAATAAAAAGAAAAAAAATATTGTGTCCCGTAATGTAAAAATACAGTTTTTAGTCGGGTCATTTTTTCGTCAGTTTGTCAGGAAAGTGCAACCAAACACTTGGCCTTAATAAACAGTATTTGATTTTATTTCTTCTTAATTTAACTAGCTAGTAGTTAATGCAGTTAAGATTTTTAAAAACATATTTATTGCACTCAACACTTTGTTTTAAAAGGCAGAAATTTTATTGAATGAAAAATAAATATTTCTCAGAGAATAAAAACTAATTTTATATGTAATTTTGAATCTAGATATATTGGGACTTTTAAAACGTACTGACAAGATTTCTATTGTCAATTCAAATGGATTAAGGATTAAATATCCAAGCTAGATTTAACACGACTCTCAATATCACAAAAGAGAATATACACAGTCAGAGATATAGAATCCTTATAATATGTACAAGACCCAGATCACCTTGAAACCGAGGCCCTGTGTCACATTAGATATTGGTACAATCAACATCCTTCAGTGTTCAATGGCTGTAAGTGCCAAGTAAAGGCAAAAGTGTAAGTACCAAGTACATGTAAAGACAAAAATTACAAGCCCTTCACTGGTACATGTATATGAAGATGTCTATATAAATGAAATATTCTCGAATGGAACATAAAACAATAAACAATCAATCAACCATGCATGTGCTTCAGTAGCTTGTGAAAACCTTGAAATAGTTCATTTCACTCTCATGGACAAAATGTCAGCTTCATGCACATTGGTATTAAAGGTATCACAACACTGTTATGTAAGGGACTTTTGTTTGATTGTTTTTGTTTAATGCCCCACTGGAGAATTTTTAACTTGTATGGATATGCCACTATTTGTCAGTGGAGGGCGCGAATCTTGAGATAAGTTTGATACCAGTAGCCATTGCTCAGGTGGGGAACTAAATATTCATGCCACCATCTACTGCATCACAGGACCTATATTTATACAGCGTCAACTGTAGGGCCAATCTCTATGTCCCAGTGGGATTTTAACTCAGGATGTAAGGATCAACTCCTCACTTCAGAAATCTAGAGCAGATTAGGACCAGTCTCCATGTCCCAGTGGGATTTAAACTCAAGATGTAAGGATCAACTCCTCACTTCAGAAATCTTAAGCAAATTAGGACCAGTCTCCATGTCCCAGTGGGATTTTAACTCAGGATGTAAGGATCAACTCCTCACTTCAGAAATCTAGAGCAGATTAGGACCAGTCTCCATGTCCTAGTGGGATTTTAACTCAGGATGTAAGGATCAACTCCTCACTTCAGAAATCTTAAGCAGATTAGGACCAGTCTCCATGTCCCAGTGGGATTTTTACTCAGGATGTAAGGATCAACTCCTCACTTCAGAAATCTAGAGCAGATTAGGACCAGTCTCCATGTCCAAGAGGGATGTTAACTCAGGATGTAAGGATCAACTCCTCACTTCAGAAATCTAGAGCAGATTAGGACCAGTCTCCATGTCCCAGTGGGATTTTAACTCAGGCTGTAAGGATCAACTCCTCACTTCAGAAATCTAGAGCAGATTAGGATCAGTCTCCATGTCCCAGTGGGATTTTAACTCAGGCTGTAAGGATCAATTCCTCACTTCAGAAATCTAGAGCAGATTAGGACCAGTCTCCATGTCCCAGTGGGATTTTAACTCAGGATGTAAGGATCAACTTCTCACTTCAGAAATCTTAAGCAGATTAGGACCAGTCTCCATGTCCCAGTGGGATTTTAACTCAGGCTGTAAGGATCAACTCCTCACTTCAGAAATCTAGAGCAGATTAGGATCAGTCTCCATGTCCCAGTGGGATTTTAACTCAGGATGTAAGGATCAATTCCTCACTTCAGAAATCTAGAGCAGATTAGGACCAGTCTCCATGTCCCAGTGGGATTTTAACACAGGATGTAAGGATCAACTTCTCACTTCAGAAATCTTAAGCAGATTTGGACCAGTCTCCATGTCCCAGTGGGATTTTAACTCAGGGTGTAAGGATCAACTCCTCACTTCAGAAATCTAGAGCAGATTAGGACCAGTCTCCATGTCCCAGTGGGATTTTAACTCAGGTTGTAAGGATCAACTCCTCACTTCAGAAATCTAGAGCAGATTAGGACCAGTCTCCATGTCCCAGTGGGATTTTAACTCAGGCTGTAAGGATCAACTCCTCACTTCAGAAATCTAGAGCAGATGAGGACCAGTCTCCATGTCCCAGTGGGATTTTAACTCAGGATGTAAGGATCAACTCCTCACTTCAGAAATCTAGCGAAGATCTGCTCTGACCATTGCTCCATGCAGATGAATGTTGGTGACTAATGTTTAAGGGCTATATTATCAATTTCTAATGCATATATATGCATGAATATCATCAAGCTACTCAATTGACTACAGCATTTAATAACAAAGAGGGTTTTTTTTAGATATATGTGTATTTGGCAAAACCAAATTTAAAGTAATTCTGAGTTAAAAAATAACATTTTATGGTTGTTTTCCCGATGAAGTTCTTTTACAGGCACTGAATAAATCTCTTTTAAAGTACTACCAAACTAGTATTTACTTATACTTGCAGCATACTAAACACTCAAAAAGTTATCAGTCTGTTCATTAATATATTTACATTAGCGTAAATGTTAGTATAGATAAAAAAAAAAAATTATTTCTCTATGATAAATTTATTTTCGGGCATACAGTGCTAATTTTCAAGTCAATTGCTTATGAAAAATTTCCTTTTTAAAAAGGAGATTTAAACAATTAAAATTCAAATAATTGATCAAACTGACTTGCATCAGTCAATGCTTAATATGAATCTTCATAAAGGGTTTTTCTACATAACTACCCTTACCAAACTGATAAGTTTGCTGCAAGCTTGCAGCAAACAAAATTGTTTGCAGGAAGAAAATTTTCTTGTTCGCGTATGATTGCCGCTAGCTGCGATCTTGTGGCAAACACTGCAGCAATAGCTGCAAGCTTGCAAAAAATTCACAGGAACCCAACATGTTTGCAGGAACATAGCAAGATTGCAGCAATGTTTGCTGCAGACTTACAACAAATATTCAAAGCGCCCCCTGATAAAACCGTCCCGGTCAAAGCGTCCCCTGATTTTGGTCAAAGCGTCCCCTAATTTTGGTCAAAGCGCCCCTTATAGAATTTTACAGTAAAATGATGTTACAAAACCGCCCCCAAATATTGGTCAAAGCGTCCCCTGATTTTGGTCAAAGCGCCCCGTATGGTAAAATGATGTTACAAAACCGCCCCCAAATATTGGTCAAAGCGTCCCCTGATTTTGGTCATTTTTTTCTTAGGAAGTATCGTCTGGGAAGCAATGGTCAAAACGTCCCCGATTCTGGTCAAAGCGTCCCCTGATTTTGGTCAAGGCGCCCCCTAATATTTTTACAAACATGTTACGGAATAAAACTGTTTTGTATTTATTATATTATCTTTGTTTGGCAGTTAATTCTATAGGGGGCGCTTTGACCAAAATCAGGGACATTTTGACCATTGCTTTGGGATTGACTCGAAACATTTTTCCCTGTAAAAGTATATTAGGGGTCGCTTTGACCAAATCCAGGGGACGCTTTGACCATTTCTTGGGGACAGTAAAGATTGTTTCTATAAATATTTTTTTTCTGTAAAAATACATAATTGTTAGGGGGCGCTTTGACCAAAATCAGGGGACCTTTTGACTAAAATCAGGGGACGCTTTGACCAATATTTGGGGGCGGTATTTTTTCTATAAAAATATGTTAGGGGGCGCTTTGACTAAAATCAGGGGACGCTTTGACCAATATTTGGGGGCGGTATTTTTTCTATAAGAATATGTTAGGGGCGCTTTGACCAAAATCAGGGGGCGCTTTTACTAAAATCAGGGGACACTTTGACTAAAGTTAGGGGACACTTTGACCGGGACGTTTTTATTAGGGGGCGCTTTGACTGGCTCCCTATTTTCGGTAAGGGTACCCTCAAGCTCCAAGATGACTTACCCATTGTGTTGGTTACTTTACATCTGAACCTAAAATATTAATGAAGGGTGGTTCTAAATACCTACCCTCAAGCTCTGAGATGACCTTCCCTTTGTGCTGGTTATTGCCCAGTCTGGTTTTGTGACGTTTTAGCACCATATCGTTGTTACTTTGAGCGTAGGGTCCTATATAAAACAACAATACTGCAGATTAACAAGACATCTACTGTTGATGGTTTTAACTTTAATAAAAACAATATAATGAAGAAAATTTTAAAAACATGCTTTGATTGTTAAAGTATAAAATCACAGTGTTTTCTATACAGTCATGTGAGTTTGGGTGCATTAAAAACTTATTATTTTTTATATTAACAACTTTATATCTATCTTTACCCATTATTATGTTTGCTTATTTATTTACTATAAGACTCTAGAGCATGAAGCTCTGTCATAAAGTCAAAAATTCAAAGCAAGAAAATTAGAAAAATCATCAAATACTGCTTCTTTACAAACCATCTACATACATTAATTAGATTTTCTATGCATGCAGTGTTGCCACCATAGTATCCTTCACACAAACATTAACACGTTCAATAAATTCATAAAAATTAACAACATGCTTCAGAAGATATCCATAATCTTTATATGCAATCTCCTTCACTCCTATACATCTATCAGTGCAACAAAAAATCACTTTCTCAACTCCAAAAATGTTTTCTTTTTCATAGTAAAAATATGACAGCACTAAACAACTGTTATCCATCACATGTTTTTAAAATCCAAATTTATCCAGGTATGGAGGAAAATGGGGCATAAATTTTTCCAAAACTAACAAACATTTGATAAAGGTGTGCAATGGTTATACCTTTATTTGTGGAGTTGTTTTTCAAGCGCCTTGTCAAAACCATATAAACATCGCTCGTAGGCATGGGTCGATATGGGACAGTAAACATTTTCTTAAATTATTTCTCTTTAATCAATAATAACCATCGAGAGATTTAAACGCCACTTTCAAAAGGTAATGAGCCTACTCCTCCTAGATAGACTGCACAGAGCACATTCAATCCTCTGTGTTTTATACCAGAACAAGGATTCGTTGTTGACTTATCATTGGGATTAAAGAAATCATTATAAAATGCAAATTTCATTTGGACTTTTAAATTAGTATATATATTTAAATGTCTTCTAGGGAGTAGTCCTTGCACAGACAAAAACAGCTTGTATCCTTGCACATTGTGTATTGGTCATTACACTCAATGAAAGTGTCAAATAATTAATGCTCCCAGTCTGTTTTGAATTCTTCCTTGGAAACAAAACACATCAATTCCAATCACATTCAGTATTCACTGCTGCTCAATTAAATACATCCAGTATCCCATTGCAGTTTGTGAAATTTTTAATTACAGAAAAATAAATCCAATGTAGGAAATTAGCCAAAATGCTACATATTCCAAAATATCACCATAGAGAGAGAGAGAGATTAAGCTTAGAACATAAAATACATCTCACAGAATGTTGCGGCTGAATGAAAAAGACAGCAGAAATAATAAATCAATACTCCTCCCTGATCAGGTTACCAGGGTACCTAAGCACCCAGAGAAGATGTGCATGGGATCTTAACGACCGCTTCACCTTCAAGTGCACCGGTGGGAAATCAGCCCTGGTTAATACCAGCAATAAAGGGTGTACGCAGTGTAACAATTAGATAAATATAAAACATAACAAATCAGTTAGCCTGGATACCCAAATTTAAGAAATCAACTCTGGTTACATGTATAATCAGCAATAAAGAGTGTACATAGTGTAACAATTAGATAAATATAAAACATAACAAATCAGTTAGCCTGGATACCCAAATCTAAGAAATCAACCCTGGTTATAATCAGCAATAAAGGGTGTACATAGTGTAACAATTAGATAAATATAAAACATAACAAATCAATTAGCCTTGATACCCAAATCTAAAAAATCTTGAATCTGCTTATCCTTTTAGTATCATGAACCTTGATATCTGAAGCCAGGATTTTTTTGGCCAGTTATGTCTTAGATTTGCATGGGTTAGGAGACTTTAAGAGCCTCAGACTTTTGAAAAAAGTTATTGTATACAGGGAAATTTTGGCCCTCATTTTATTTTCACCCCTTTCACACTACCTTCATTTCGGCGAATTTAAAATGGGGCAAATTAAAAAAGAATGTAGTATGATTTCTTAAAGAAAACTATAACTGGGCAAATTCAAACTGGGCAAAATTGTGTGCAAGTTTAAATAGGCAAAAATAACATTGGGTAAAAATAACCCTGTATTTTGCAGTATAAATCCAGACCCTGTTTCACTTGTCATCTAGTAGGTTTCTTTGAGCCTGAATACCTTGAGCTGAAGTAACCTTGCTACTATAATTGGAGTTCCATGAATCTGATTACCTGACCTAAGTTACTTTGGACCCTGCTACCTAATTGAAGTACCTTGAGTCTGAATACCTTACCTAAGTTACTTTGGACCCTGTTACCTTAATTGAAGCACTTTGAGTCTGAATACCTTACCTAAGTTACTTTGGACCCTGCTACCTTAATTGATTGATTGATTGTATATTGTTTAACGTCTCTCTAGAGAATATTTCACTCATATGGAGACGTCACTGTATGCCGGTGAAGGGCTTCAAATTTTGACCTATACTCGGCACTTAGGGCCATTGAGCAGTGAGGGTTCTTTATCTTGCCAGCGCGTACCGTGACACGGGACCTACGTTTTTAAGGTCATATCCGAAAGACCCGTGACTTTCACTTCTAGTGCCGAGCGCTTGGCGAAGGAACAGTCACTACCTTTGTTTACGTCTTAGGTATGACGCGGCGCCGCGATCGAGAATCGAACCCGGGCCTCCCGATCACGAAGCGAATGCTCTACCACTAGGCTACCGTGACCGGTCTACCTTAATTGAAGTACCTTGAGTCTGAATACCTGACCTAAGTTACTTTGGACCCTGCTACCTTAATTGAAGTACCTTGAGTCTGAATACCTTTCCTAAGTTACTTTGGACCCTACTACCTTAATTGAAGTACCTTGAGTCTGAATACCTTACCTAAGTTACTTTGGACCCTACTACCTTAATTGAAGTACCTTGAGTCTGAATACCTTACCTAAGTTACTTTGGACCCTACTACCTTAATTGAAGTACCTTAAGTCTGGATACCTGAGCAGAGTGAGCTTGAACTTTCATACCTTGGTTCAAGTATCTGGAGACAAAATGTACAAACTCTGACTGTCTGTATATTTACTAAGTTTATGAGATTAAACAAGCTGTCAGTGAGATACCTGAATTTATACCACCTAAATTAATTAAAGTGATATACAAGAACTGAGTTCACCTGACTTAGTGAGCTGAGATAACTGACCTGAGCTGTTCTGATTATCAGTAATTTCATCCATTTATAATTATCAGAAACAATCTTGATTTACAGATTCAAAGGAAGTTAATTTTTATGGCAAAAATATATCCTTTCAATGTGTTAGAATCTTCAAGAATAGATTTTTTTCAACAGTAATTCTTCTGAGTATATCATTTGTTCTCAAAAAAAAAAGAAAAGAAAAGAAATTTATAGGAACTAGAACATTTATGAAGTGCTTCAAAATAAGTATATTCAGAACTGTAATGTTTTAATTAATATGAACCGCAATTCAAACTCCAATTATTTTTTAAATGGCCATAATTCCGTAGTGAACTTAAGACCACTGTTGAGTGAAGTCCAGGTCGCGGTCTCTTTCTGTCACCACTTGTAACGTGTTAAAGTTTCTGTTACTTCACAATCCCAGATCTCTTAATGCTATAATCAGAGGAATTAAAGATATTTATTTGACTTGGTTTACTGGATATTACTTATAAACCTTCACTTGCCACTTCACCATTTCTACTCAATTCAACGTGTACATGACCTCAAATCTAAGTAAATTCCCCTTATGATGCTCAGCCCTTCTGAGCTGAAGATTGAATTTTATAGCTTATATAAAGTACATCTGGATTGACATATAGGTTTCATAAATATGACATTCTGTAAAATTCCTTTTTTTTTAAATAGCTTAGTATGGAGTTAGGGCAACCTAGTTGACTTCTTATAAGACTTGAAATTAAATACAAATTTCCATTTCTATTTGTTTTCTCTGTGATACAATGTAACTCTTTGAAAGTTACATGTGAGTTGATTTCTTGATAAGTTGATATATCAATCAAAATGTAATTTTGTTGAGCAAAAGAATTCAGCTAATTAACTCAATGAAATCTAGCTACCAGTGGCAACTAGCTGACACCTAAGTTTTCTTAAAACTCGATCCTCTTTTCAGATTTAATACTTTTCAGATACAGACATCATCTAATTCTCTCACCATCTAGGATTCTCTGTAGACTCGGGGACACGTTCTTGCTGCGGTTGTCGTCTTTTCCATCACTGCTCTCCAAATCCCCATCTTGACCTTGACCTTTGACCCCATCTAATGGTTCTTCTGTTGAGTTATTATTGAGATCCCCCTCTTCAACTCCCTTTTTTTTCAAAATAGAAGTCAAACAAGTTAGTTTACTGAGGTTTCAATTGTCTCTGTAAAATGGAAGTTGGTTATTTTGTATACAGGATGAAGAGAGGAAGTACAATTGGTAAAAGAAAGACTGGGAAACAGAGTTTCAGTGAAAGGCATGCATAACATGCAAAAACATGCAAGCTACCTAAACATTATGTATAGACATGTACACTTAAAATAAACTTATGTTTATATTCATCAGATAAAAAAATTGGGGATATCAATTGAAGCTTTTATTTTTATCATTATTTTTCGGAAGATGCAGATATTAGCCTGATTTCTGCAGTGATGAATGCAAACAGAGTTCATATACTAATGAACACAATGAAATGTGTGTTTTTTATATTAATTTTGATTAAATTTCAGCATGTTCATGATTGTTTGATGATTAAAAGTTGTTATTATAGTCAACATAAAGAAGATAATCTTAGTTTCAAACTTTAATATGAGAATTATGATCAGCTGATGATCAGCTGAAATGGATGGAAGCTATATAGATAATTTACCTCCTTTATTTTCTTGTATTTTCTGAGTTTACTGACAGGAGAGAGTCGGCCATTATAAGTGGAGAAGTGGATGGAGGCTTGTTCAATCTGTAATGTATAGCACCACAGATAACAGCTAACTAAAATAACAGCTAACAACATGTTAATTAAGTGGAGAAGTGGATGGAGGCTTGTTCAATCTGTAATGTATAGCACCACAGATAACAGCTAACTAAAAATAACAGCTAACAACATGTTAATTAAGTGGAGAAGTGGATGGAGGCTTGTTCAATCTGTAATGTACAGCACCACAGATAACAGCTAACTAAACAGATAACTAATATATCAGCTAACTAATAAGAACATGTTATAAAGAAGTGGAGAAATGGATGGATGGAGGCTTGTTCAATCTGTAATGTATAGCACCACTGTCAGATAAAGCTAATATATAACTAAAATAACAGCTATTAATAACAATGTTCAATATTAAGTGGAAAAGTAAATTGAGACTTGTAATATATAATAAGGTCAACAATAAAAATTATTTGTTTGATGTACTCTGATCATCCTGTCAAAATTATTTACCTCTAACTTAATCATTTTTTAGCACTTTGAATTTCTTTTTTTCAGTTTTCCTAAGAATGCTTTTAGACTTTGTGTCATGGCAATAAATACTATATTAATCTGTATGCTAGCTATTATTATATTCAGTAGATTTATCTATTGTGTCATGAATATTATATCAATAAATAGACTGTCCTAAGTCTGTGATTTTCATGAGTTATCATTTGTCCAATACTGTTAATTAAGTAAAACCAAAAAAAAAAAAAAACTACCTTAACCTACATACCTACCCACCATGAAAAATGTTGGCTGGAGTACATCTGTTGAGTAATGTACAGTCTAAATTGCAAAATTTTTTTGGATAACACTGGACATTCAGTTCTCACAGTGTAATCAATGAGCACACAGGACTGAACCAAATAAAAATGCAGACTATGCCTAACAGCTTTTTTTTTCCAGGGATCGCTCCCTTATCAAACTGTGGTAAGTCCATACGGTTTTGATAGTTCCATAATTTATTTACAAATTTAGATTTTGTGTAGCATTTTTTAGTTATAACAAACTTTTAAAAGACTTAGTTAGCATCAGAATAAGAAAGCTGAGATACTGATTGGACACACAGTGTTAACAAGAGGCCAATGGGCCACATCACTCACCTGAAAAACTTTGGCCATGCTGTTCTTTAACAGATTCCCCAATACTACCAATTGTGACTATGCCCAACCCCCATGAGTCATGATTTGGACAATTTAGAATCTAGTCTACCCTATCAAGATGCTTTCACTTAAGTTTCAGTTTTCTGCCCCAAAGCTTCTTGAGAAGAAGATCTTTCTATGTATTCCTATCTAAAACTTGGATCGGCCATTGTGGCCCCATCCTACTCACGGAGGTCATAATTGAACAAACTTAAATGTACACTACCTGACTGTGAGGTTGCTTCCACATGAGTTTCGAATCAGCTTTTCTGGCCCATTTGTTATGGAGAAGAAGATTTCTTAATATTTTTCATATTTGTTCCTATATATGTAAAACTTTGATTGGCCATTATGGCCGATCCCTAATCCTAGGTGTCATGATTTGAACAAACTTGAATGTATACTACCTGAGGATGCTTCCACATGAGTTTCATCTTTCCTGGCCCAATGGTCTTGGAGAAGATTTTTAAAAGATTTTCCCTATATATTCCTTTGTTAAACTTTGATCAGCCTTTGTGGCCCGGCCCTACCCCCAGGGGTCATGATTTGATTAAACTTTAATCTACACTATCTACATGATCTAAGGATGCTTCGATCCACAGATTTTTAAAAGATACCATTAATTTTTCATTAATTCATATAATTATCTCCCCTTGTAAGAAGGCTTGGTCCTTCATTTGAACAAACTTGATTTCCCTTCATCCAAGGATACTTTGTGGCAAGTTTGGTTGAAATTAGCCTAGTGGTTCTTGAGAAGAAGATGAAAATGTGAAATGTTTACAACAATGACGACAACAACAGATGACGGACAAATTTTGATCAGAAAAGCTCACTTGAGCCTCCAGTTCAGGTGAGCTAAAAGGATGCATCAGACCTAAGGCTTTGCACATTAGTCAGATCTGATAGTCCAATATCTCTTGTGTATACGACTATACTGAAGAAAGTGGACAGGTGGATCAAAAGTTAAAATGACTCAGGACTATAATGACTACAGCAACATATGCAGATATACTACACAGCTAACTAACGTTCTGTTCAATAAGTGTAGAATATAAAGTGGATTATAGGCTTAATAATAAATATATTTTGAAAAATATGTACAGTAATGTAGGTGCATGATTCAAAGACTGTGAACATGTTTAAGTAAATGCTGTTCCATTATATTACACATTCACCTAATTATTAATAATTTTATTTTATAAATTATTATTTGTTAAATCATTAAGAAAAAACAAGAAATTTTAAAAATTTAAAAAACATTTGTATTTTTTCTGTTATCTAGATAATTAAAGTAATTTAACAGCAGTCAATCACACTGATCATTACTAACACACGTAACGTACCCCAGATTCCTCAGGCTTTAACACAGCCTTTTGTTTTCTGACATATATACATTGATTTATCGCAATACAAAACCAGTCGCATGTGTGGCGCAGTGGTTTGAGCGTCCACTCTATAGTCGCAGAGTAAGGAATTGATCCTCAAGTCGCGGGTTCAAATCCCACTGTGGGACCTGGAGACCGGTCCTTCGAATGATACCATTATAAACCTTGGTTTTGTGTCGCAGTAGCTAGTTTCTGGCACGAAAAAGATCCTCGCTGCTCAATGACCCTATAGTATTATGAGTATAGGACAAAATTTGTAGCTCTCCACTGGCAAGTGGTTGTGTCTGAAGTCCTATGAGTGAAATATTCTCAAAAGGTACATTACACAAAATACAATCAATCAATACAAAACCAGTAGTTAGAGTCAGAGGAATCTCGGATTAGTATAAACATGCTTTACATGCAGACATCAATTACTCAAAATAGTTTTAATACAATAACTGTTTATCAATATTTTGTGTATAATACATAACATGCATATGTGTAGGCCTATAAAATGTTACACTTTACATGATAACTGCAGTACTACTAACTAATTTGCAGGGCAGAATGATACATTTTGGCAAAATTTAACGTAAAATCTAAATTAATAAATTAGATAAAATGTTCTATCATTAAAATGATAAATACATGTCCTATGGACCCAGATTAACGATAAAATTTATTTTGTGTATTCAAAACATTGCAAAATAAACAAGGGAAATAACTCGTACTCACAGTGCATTTATAGACTAGCTATGAATAATCAAGAGACTCCGTAAACATCCCGGCGTGTAAATTAATTTGAAGAGGAAAAAAAGAGAAAATTAGTTGAATTTTCGTCTTTATTTGGATTATATTTTAGGTTCAAATACTTGCGCAACCCCAAAAAGGTTTGTTACAATCAATTTGGAAGTTATTTTCAGTGCAATTAATCCCTTTGTATTATTCTAACTATTATAATAAATATACTTCATTATCTGTCAACAAAATCTTTGCCAATCATTATAAATTTGCCCTGCAAAATAGTACTGCAGTTATCATGAAGGGGCTAATTGTTTAGGCCCTAAAGGTTAAAACTACAGTAAACACTTACATTTCTCTTTTGGCGATCTAAATGCTGCTGCTGTCTAGCCATAAAATCTGTTCCAAGATTTTGAACAATTTTCTGGCTTGCAGTACTGACTTTAGGACGAAAAGTAAATATATTATCATCTAAATACACATCCGATTTCGCTGTCATTTTTCCCGTTCGTAAGTTGTAAATAGACGGTTTGTTTACGTTTTTCTCCGTTGGATTTGGAGATAAACAACTTTCACTTGATGTGTTGTGATCGTTTGAATCTTCCTCTTTCTCTCCAAAATTTGCACTTTTATCTAAATTTGTTGGAATGGGTGCCAATGGTTCAAGCGTTCTGCATTTTATGTCTCGCATAAAATGGGGAACATTTGAATCTAAAGTTTTCAAACGACGGTTTGCAATTTTTCTACTTGTTTCACTGATCTTGGGAATAAATGCATAACTCCTACTGGCATCTTCTTTAAGTTTCATCCTTTATCATGTCTGGTTGATTTTGTCAGCCATGTTTGTGATAGTTGGATAAAAAAAAAAAACGATTACCTCCTTCCTACATAGTGTTGGCGTACACCGTAACTATGGAGCCGCCATTTTCTTCCCAAGTGACAGTCTCGAAACAAAAAGACAAATGACCTTTATTTATTTATTTAGATTAAATATTTATGCGTTATAGCTGAATCAGTATTTTAAATTATAATTCATTGGTTATAATTATGGAACATAACTTATATTTAATCACTATACAGACTAGCAATTATTTACTGCGAAACGATTGTTAAATCAAAGTACTGTTAGTACTTCTGGGAAACGTATTTCCTTTGTTGTCTAACTAATATTGTTAAAGAAAAATATCCACTTATAATTAACTTATAAATAACTACTTCTATGTAGGCAAGAGGCTATTCATACATGCACATGTGTATATTTTAAATAGAATTTTTTTTTTACTTGTTGTCTAATTCTAAAAGGAAATATAAAGAACCGCGTCTCTCTCTTTTGGGGTGCCGTTATGTATGGCATATGGTGTCAGACATTAATCGTTATATCATACATTTCATTCAAATATATAATCACCAAAGTTTTATTTATTTATTTATTTATTTATCTTAATATAAGTTAAAACATAAAAGTTATTATATAGGATCAAGGGGTAAAAAATCATAGCATGCTTTGTAAACATCTTGTCACAGGTAAGGCAAATAAAAAATTTTAAAAGTGCTACATTTTCTCAATCAAAAATTATGAGGAATAAAAACTTTTTCCTCAAAAAGTATGTCAAACTTCATGGTGAAGGTAATAAGGTAAAAATTCAGAGTGCATTTTGAAAGGCCTTGTCACAGGTAATACCCACATATATATGAAAGCCCTATCTTTTCTCTTTCAAAAGTTATGATCAATTTAATGTAATATCAAAATTTCCTAAAAAGTAGATCAAACTTTAAGGTCAAGGTAATGTGGTCAAAATTCATAGCTAGCTTACTGGAAAAGGTCTTGTCACAAATTATGAACATGTGAAATACGAAAGCCTTACTCTTCTTATTTTAAAAAACTATATGGCTATATGGTTTAAGTTTTTGTGACGGACGGACAGAATATCAGAGGAATGGAAAAAAAAAGTCTATAAGAAAATAGAAATATAAATCTAAATAATTCAACAGCAAAAAGTTTCAAAAAATATTACATAGAGTGTAAACCAAAGAGTAAAATATTACGAATTCATGTACTTAAAAAAATGTCTTGTATATATTATTATTGTACTACGAGGGGTGATCAAAAAGTTCGCAAACTATCTCTATATCTACAAAACCACAATTCAGAATAGAATGAAATACGGTACACACTTAGCCATACACAAGGTCTATAAATAACATATGCTGAATAAAGTTTCTCTCCTTGTTTGTGACGTCACAATGTGAAAATGACGTCACTATTTAGGTCACTTGTGACGAAAAATGGTTGCCTCAGTCGAACTCGTTCAATAAACGACTGTACAATTTATTGTAATATCTTAAAAATCCCTCTATAGTATCATATAATAATTTTTACACAGTCTATTGAGATAAATGAGTTCTTATAAATTCAATTAATGATTGGATTTATCGTTTTAGTGAAGGAAGGCTGATGGTTAAAAATGATACTTGTCATCTTGCCCAGTGAAAGCAAGTTTGAAAAGATATGTATTTTTAATTAAGCAATTTGCTATCAAAGACCTGCACTCTGAAAAATAGTTGAATATTTGAACAATGATATAAGTATTAAATACCTAAGCTATCGTTTACTTTAGATTTTAAACATATTAGATATGATAAAAAGGATGCACCCATTCTCTATCCACCTTGAATAAAAGGTCTCTCCTGAGGCAGAAAATTTGTGTTTTAATTGTCGCCATGCTTATTTTTGGAAAGGATGTTATTATCCACCCATTCTGTTGCCGAGATATGACCATTTCTGACAAATTAACTGTTCTTGTCATAAAAATTAACTCACATGGAAAGAAATATAAAAAATCTTTTAACTTTTGTGACAGAACGCTACGAAGGGGGTCACGTGACCGCCAATATCACGTGATTCGCGCATGCGCAGATCGGTTGTTGATGTGCATTAAAATTGGGGAGGATTAATTTAAAATATAATAAACATTAAAACCAAATATTCTTTCTTGTATGGAAGATAATTAATTATCTATCTATAGAAAAAAAAAAAAAACTCTGTTAAAATCATAAAGAATGAAAGGTATGCCATTCTGTTGTAACCCACTTAGGTAAAATTTAAACAAAATCTATGTAACTTTAAGTGAAACTGCATGGGTAGTCCGAATTTTCTAAGTTCCAGTGGGAATCTATATAATCGTTATTTATTGCTGTAAGAAATACAAATATATGATATCACCTATTCTTGTAAGTGATATCACCAATTCAAATTGAATATCACTTAATCGAAAAGCGAAATCACCTTTTTAAGTTCCAACAGGAGATATCACAAATTCGAAAGGTGATATCACCTATCGAATAGATGATATCACCTATTCAATTTGAATGAGTGATATCACTTATTAGAATAGGTGATATCACCTGTACGAATAAGTGATATTACCTATTCGAAAAGGTGATATCACTTTTTTGCAGTAGTCAAAAACGGCACCTTATAGAAGACTTTCTTGGGAATTGGTTTAAAATATAGCTGTTTTAACACTTTTATGAGTGTCTGTATGATTTGTTGTGCAAAATAACACAGAAGCTATGGGTCTTGTGAAAAATAATTGTTTTCTTAACAAAAAAACGTAGCGTTTCATAAATAAGCAAGACAGAGCTTTACAGTGGAGTATCGCTTCTCATGCCTAAAATAGCTAGCCACTAGGTATCTTTTTCTGCGCGAGAGATGAAAATAGAGAAAAATTTAAACCAGTACCGTAGAACCACTGGTATCATAGGAATGGAGTATACTATTGTTTTAAACCATGATTATTTTTTTTTCAAACTTCAACAGTCGACCACCTATGACATCACTATGAAATTTCTGTGTCGTATGGATTCTCTCCTGCTTTGTGTCGTACGTGAATGATACTCATTAAGCAATTTTATTTCAAACTAAAAAATATGAAACACTCTTTAAACATAACAGCAAAAAAATTAAAGTACAATCAATTAAACAATTAGCACATATTTAACTACGAGTAGAACAGTCCCATCGTTTTATTTTACATCACAAAAAGGTTTATGGTTAAAAATCATACTGATTGAACACAGAGTACTCTGACGATGACATCAAAATATACTCGAGTTTCTGATTGACAATATCCATGTGATTTTTGGATTCCCATGAGTACCAAATGCACCCCGTTATTAGCAAACCTATTTTTGTATTCATATGAAACTGAGTTTGTCTAAAATCTTATATGTGAAAATAAGAGAACACTGGCTGTGGCCTTCAACTCGACGTTTCAACAACGTTTTGTCAATTAACAATGGTAACTTCCATTTTTATGTCGATGCGATATATCCCGGTGTGTTTGAGATAAAAGATATCACATAATCTGATACATTTACTTGAAAATGACATTAATGGTAAACTAACAACCACGCTCTATGACAAACGTGATGACTTTAACTTTACAATCCCCAACTTCCTTTATTTATGCAGCCGTATAGCTTCATCACCTGCATTAGGGGTTTATATTGCTGAAACGCAATAAAAACGCAACAAGCAGCAATCTACAAATATTTGAAATCTTTATCTAATGATTTTCAAAATTGAATACAGTGAGGTAAAACTCGATTTAAAGCATCAGACGATTTCAGAGATTTAATAAAAATGAGAAACTATTTTCTTTTAAATTTAGAAAGTTACACGTGACTGATAAAATACACCCCACCCCGGCCATTCAATTTCAGCGTGCAAGATTTTACGATGCAGTAGGTTCATCAATTCCGAGATCTAAGCGAAAGAAATATTGTTTGCCATTTTTAAATGCCTGTTTCTCAGATGATGAGGCCGACTTTTCTCTAGCCTAGCGTAGTGAAGTAACCCTCGGACTCCCGATTCAATGACTGTCATTCATGCTAATGATACGTAAGAGCATGTTGAGGCGTGATGTAGTGCATATATGCATCTGCAACTCTCCTTCACCTTTATTTTGAGATTTTCCAGTTAGAGCAATGGAAATGCGTATTTAAATAAGTCATTTTCAGGAATCCTTTAATTGTTTCGCTTACGGAAAAGAAAGGAGGGATTTTTTTTTCAGACTAATGATGCATTAGTTACGACTAACAGATAAAACCCCTTAAAATCCCATATAATTGCATTAAGCATGCAATATGTTATATTTAGAGTACGAGTTTCCTACTGTATCAGAGATACAGGGCGGGGCTTGAGGCGAGAGCGATAGCTCGAGCCGGGCCCCGCCCTGTATCTCTGATACAGTAGGAAACGAGTATTCTAAATGACTTGTGACATGACCTTTCTAATGACCTCACCAATTTACATTCATATTTGGGTACATATCTCTCAACCAATCAGATTATTTTAGCAGAAAGTTGATTTAGTATCCCATTTTAACCATTCGCAACTGCAATGCCGAGAGAGGTGGACGTGCAGGTATTTATCATTTTAAAATAATTATTTAGGGGATGCATTATATACATGTAATTGGTTTTCCAAAAAAAAATAAATTTGATTGCGTAGGTTCTTCTCTCTATTCAGCTGTTGCCGACTTCTTTTTTTTTAATTAAGCTACGATTAAATGCAAAACATTTTAATATTTAAGAATCATATGGGAATGTTTTTGAAACAAAAATACTTCGATCGGGAAAAACGTATTCTGATAGAAATGTCCGACCATGTCCTACACCTGTCGTAATATAAAAAAATTGAAATAAACAGAAGAAATGAAAGCTGGGGGGGACGCAGCACTGTTAAGGCCAACTATGAGAGTATTTTATCTTCATGTTTTTAATAAAATGTAGAGTAACCAAAGATGCCCCCCCACTCAACCCTCCTGCGAGTTTTTTTTTCGCTCTCGTAAATGATTTTTGCTAAACTAGTATACATGCGATTTTTAAATCAACAAGAAACGATAGCACCACATAGTGTCTTAATTGGTTGGCTATAAATCTAACCCCCCCTCCACCGAAGTATAATATACGAGTTCAACTTATTTTTTTTC